CAAATTTTAGAAGTGTCTATTGGGAGCTTTGAATAAGAAGACTAAGGAAGGAGCATATCAAAAATCTTAGGTACACCGCGATGGGCCTCAAATATGGCCGACTTAAATTCCGGTTTATCAGTGTCGTTCTAATTTTATTTAAAAAATGTAAAACTATGATGTAAGAATTGGAGCGTAAGGGTAGACTCAATAATTTGTTGTTTTATTTTTACGTTGTGAATAAATGTTGGTAGTTATGAAAATTGTTATAAAATATATAATTCTATTAAAAATAGATAAGTTATAATAAGTATTTATTAACACAAACATCCGATACGCTACTGAAGCAGGTAAGTCAAATTAACGTATCTAAATTCTTTGACATCTAATCTTTGACAAGTAATAAATAAAAGCTAAAATGCAAGAAAAAATATATAATTTAGTTAATTTAAGTGAATTTCATAAATGATCGGTTTGCTACACGTATGTATATTATATAGTCACTTACTAGCGAAAAAGTTGTTCCATTATTTCACTCAATTTTGCCGAAGGATCTACCGCACGCTACACAACCAACTATTTTAGAGTCTTTTTCGATAAATCACTTGATAGTGTCACTGTTAATTTAAGTTCGGCCACAATTTCCATCTAGATTTACTACCTTTATACAATTATCAGTAGTAGAATAAATAATAAATAACATAAAATAAGCTCCATAAAGACTGATAAATCCACAAAATTTCAAATCAAATTCAAATGTGTCAAATGAATCGTCAAACAGAACTGTCAAGGATCCCCACCCTAGAGAGCTTTTATGGTGCCTTTTCCGCCCACCATGCATGAATACATGGATAGCATTATGCTCCTTCCTTAGTCTTCTTATTCAAAGATTGGGAGCAGGGTTCGGAAGTAGTTAATTAAGACGTAATTTACCTGATTAACTACGTGTAGTTTTTCTTCAAAAACTACTTCTTTTCCTGTTCATTAACTACATGAAAACTACGTTAATAAACTATGTATTGATATTATGAATAATTTTCTCCTTTGTATATGAGGGTGTAATAGAGGTAACTTGTGATGTAAATATTATATTTAAAGCCATATTTCTTCTGGTTTCTTAAATACATTATGTGTTTTTAAAGATTCAACTTATTATAACCTCACCTCAAACCTTTGATATTTGAAAGTTACATACATATGTTACATAAACTACACCCTCTACATAAACTACATTAACTACATGTAATGTAGTTTATGTAGTTTTTAAAAGTAACATGTAGTTTTCCGAACCCTGATTGGGAGACTTTCATCATTGATACTACGCATACGCAGGTAGCAGATGTTGCCATATTTCTATAAATACTATTTATATTTATTTTATATTTTTTCTAACCTTGTTTTTTCTAATCTCTTTTTCACTGAAGTTGACTGAGTCATTGAAGGACAGTTAAATATTTATAAATGTTTAGAAGGCTGCTTTGTATCTTTTCCTACTGAAAGGTCTTTTAGCGCATCTTCAAAAGCAGCATGGAGTTATGATATCTGATATCATTCTACTCGATTTTCTCATATTTCAGGTAAATATAGCAACAGTATTTTTGGTACAGTAACAATACAAATTCTATGATTAATTTTATAGATTTTTAGATTTACATTGACGAATATCAAAATTCCAATGATGTGAATTATGTGTAAAATAGAGGAAAGATACTTAATGGAGATTGTGAAGTAAGGTATTGTAATCGGATCATAATATTATCATTCATATACTTTTTGTTTTAAATCTATGAATATTATATCTGAATTATCATGTCATTACATCCAAGCGGTTTAATTTTTTATTTATTTGCAGGCAATATATTCATTTTATTATTTCTGACTTATGTATTAAACTACTCTAAATTTTGGTAAAATCTAGTAAAGAGGTAACATTAAATAACTATAGTCTGTGAAACGAATAACTTTGAATTTGACAGTTCCCGCGCGCTTTTCTAGTGTTAATTTTATTAGGTTAGCAACTTGCGGCCATGCTGACGCAATGCCGTCTCTAATAGAACAGCCCCGGAGTGAGATTTATGACGTCACGCTAGTTAAATACTACGGATTAATAAATATGTTGTAGAATACATGGAAAAAATTTCCTCGTATTTTTTGGTTCGTATTTTAAAACTGATATAGTTTACATGAAATATACATAATATACAGTTAATAACTTTTTTAATAATATTAATTCATTTATTATTTATTGTTTTTTGTTTATTTTTAATATTTTTGTTTATTTTTTAAAATTATTATTCTTAACACTAACTATCTACATTGACTATGGCTGAAATCGTACTCCATCCTAACCTAAATCCCAAGAAAATCAAAAATTTTAGAATAATTTTACATATAAAATGACAGCGATCTTTATTTTATAGCCATCGCTGACGCCTTTTTTTCTATGATATTGTATTATTTGCAAATATAATTTTTCGAACATTGATACTTACCAAAATATACATATAAATTTTGTGAATGCAAATAATAATACATCACTATTAGTAGATATTGAATGTTTTTGTTAAATTAGATCGATTTTCAAACACCAAAATTTAAAATATATTTTACATTTTACCCATTATCTTACGTACCTATTCATTATTTTGTATATTGTAAAACATTTGCTGCATTTGAATGGTTTATGAATTTATTTGCCAAAGAGTATTTATTACTATAAAGAGAGGTATATATATTGTATTTATTAACTGTATATATATATATTTCATGTAAACTATATCATTTTAAAATACAAAACCAAAAATACGAGGGAATAATTATGTTTTCCATGTATTTTTACAACATATTATTAATCCTTAGTATCTAATTAGCGTGACGTCATAAATCTCGCTCCGTGGCTGTTTTTCTTTATTAGAGACGGCATTGGTTTTGATATTTAGAAATGCCAAACGCTGATGACATTTTACTTTTGGCAATTATGACATTTCGGGTTGATTTTTGCAAGAAGAGGAAGAACTGTCACTTGTTTTATTATTTTTCTTTTCTATTTCACGAAAGTAAAAAGAGTTACCTATCTGATTCGTTCAGGTACTCAATTTAAAGAATATCAGTAACTTTTCTGACAGAGGGATTTTATATTTGCCATATTGGTAAAAAATAACGGTCAAAATTCAAAGTTATTCATTTTATAGACTATACTTACGCAATCCACTTTAATTTATACAGAATCTTATAGCAGATATCAATGCGACAAAGGTAATAATATTTAAACATTCAACAGTTTATCTGGTGTGGTTATAATAATTCTTGTATCAATTTTTCTAAAACAGATCAAGTTACTGTATTAGAAAAATGTAGGAAAAAATGGCGATAGAGTTAATAAGCTTTGTTTTATCTTTTACTCTTTAGGAGGTCTATGTTGTAGAATACATTACAATATTTAATATTCTGTATTTTCATTGTTTTATTTTATGTAATTTCTTGTAAGTTGTCAAAATACCGCCAAGAAAATCTTGACAATATGGCGAAGTCTGTGGCGAAGTTTCTAATTTGAATGTAGGTATTAAATTTACATTATATGATGCAAAAAATCAAAATGTTTTAACAAGATACTTTTTATTATATTTTTTGTTTTAATACTCTACAATATTATTATGCTTTGTGGTGTGGAAAACAAATGTTAAGATATTTTAATATTTGCCATGATGTTTTATTACAAAATATGATTTATAAATCACAGATATATTAATTAAATATAATATTATATATTTTGTAGACATATTGGACAATTGGACATGACAAAGAATTAAGAAGCACGGCAATAAAGGTAGAACAAAAATAAGGCTAGAGAAGCAGCAGTCTAGTGTTGAGAATATCGAAAGCGCCAAAATTAGATGGATCATATAATAATGGATATTAAGGACAGAATTTGTCTGTTTATTTTTTTTAAATCATGTATAATTTAAATTTTGTAAAGTTGAGTTTCATCTTATTAAATAAATTACTTTTTCTTTTCAAATGTAGCCATCTATAGTGTTTTATTTGTGTCTAATTCTATTGATAATGAAATTAGAGCTATCTAAATCTATAATAAGATATGTTGCCATGAAATAAAAACACATCTCTCTCAAAAAAAGTTCTTTAATGTTTAATTTCATAGTTGGCATGAAAAAGGTAACTGTTTTTTTTAATATGTAAGTGAATTTCATCGTTCATCATTTCCAAGCCAACTCTGAATCCGTTTTTTATCATACATACTTAATTCACAAGAATTTGATGATTAAATACATATATTTTAATAAAGTAATTATAAATATATTTATTCAGATATCATTTTAGACCTACATATATGGTAAAAAATATTAGCTTATAATTTCTTATTTATTATTAAATTATAGTATTTTCATTTTCATATCTTTACATTCAAGTATCTATTTCTGTATTTTATTCTCATTCAAACCAATAAATTTATTTTAACAGATTTTATTGTTTTTTTTTTGTTTTAATTAATAGGTATAGGTAATGGTAATAATAAAATTATATTTCAAATTTCTATTTTAATAATGAAAAAGCAGAAAAAATAAAGTTTATAAAAAAAGTAAAACAAAAATAAAACTCTATAAAGAAAATTAGGTAATTACCGAAAATTAAATTATAATTATATATTAAAAAGGGAGATTTTGTGGGGTATAAAAAAGGATTTATTTATTATCTAATTTCAAAATAATACACATGCACAATTTGGCAACATCAACAGAAATTTGCTTACTGCGCATGCGTAGAACTCGGTTGAAATATACCTTATTAGCTTGTTGGCGTCACGAGCAGCGGCACTTGGAGTTTAATACGTGTAAAACACAGCGGGAACGAAGGACAAAATGAAATTTTGACCGGCAGTAGAGAAAATGGGCAAAATAAATTGTTTTCAAGCGAAAATTGGATAAACTGGGAATAGTATGAAAAAAAGTGATTTACAAAAAGTATAATTTAAATAAATTTTCCTAATGTTCTCCTGTACTTACTCTCACTTCCCGATTCATTTGGCTGTGATCAGGCTGAGACTGCGACTGCTGCTGAGGAATGGGATGAGAAGAATCCAGATGTATCGCTCCGGTAGGAATACCGATAGCTCCCTGAGAAATGCTGACAGGAATTTGTGCATGTTGCTGCAACAAAATCTGGGGATCGGCCTGTAACAGTCCGGCTGCATGCTGACTCAAAACACTGTCCTATAAACAAAAATAATACTCAATACAAACAGATATCGTTATCATTTTGACGATTTCAATGTTATTATCAATTATTATGACAGTTACTTGTGGAAGTTTCCCTTGGTTATCCCTCCCCGCTCCCGGAAGTCCGTAAACTGACACTTGAGGTATGGGACCAGGCAACAGGTTGGTTAACACCCAGTATTTGGCAACACTGCTAAGCGCCACTGCGTTCAAAGTGTTCACACGAAGATCTGTCGGGATGGTGGTAGGAGGTTGTCTCTGTGAAGATGCCTGAAATACAATACACATAATTTTAATAAATAAATTTATTTATATTTTATAAATAAATTTACAAGGAATTCACTCTGTATTGGACAATGGACCTACCGGGTGCGTCTCAAAAGTGGCTCACCCCTATAACTTTTTTATTTTTTCAGATAAAAGAACCAGATCTGATATGTTAGTATATGACTTAAATTAGGATTGACTGAGGTATTCCATTGTTTTCGGCCACTTTCTGTTTCACCGGAAATGACTACAACTTTTGATTTTTAAATGGCACCCTCGGTATTTTTTAACTTTATTTGATAAAAAAATGAAATTCTGAATAGAATGCCATATCGTATGTCAACTTTTGATATTCTCGCTTAATAAAAAATTGTATTTTAGATTTCAATCTAGAGTGCCATGGCTATGTTAAAAACACTAATTTGTAATCAAGAAGCCTTGGAAAAATAGATTTGATCGTCTAACGTTTTTAGTGTCTTATCCTGGCCGGTTAAAAGATACCCAAATCATATTGTTAATCATATCTCAATTTTTTCAAATGGAACGAGGGTGGCTCATTAGCATATTTGGAAAAAACATTTCTTTATGAATAATTTGATACCACACACTTGGTAGTTCGACTCAAATTGTCGTTATGAACTGATTGTTACAATTTCAAATAAACAATATTTGAAAATGTCAAAAGATGACATATGATATGTCATTCTATTCAAAGTGTCATTTTCTATTAAATAAAGTAAAAAAATCCTAGGGTGCCATTTAAAAATCAAAAGTTGTAGTCATTTCCGGTGAAATAGGAAGTGACAGAAAACAATTGAATATGTCAATAAATCCTAATTTATGTCATATACTAACATATCAAATTTCGTTTTTCTAATTGAAAAAATAAAAAAGTTATAGGGGGTGAGCCACTTTTGAGATGCACTCGGTATAGATCTGGTAGATCGGTATAGATCTATAAGAAATTTGTGGATCTAGACTTAATTGACTATACAGAGTGTAAATGAATAAAAAAACATTTAAATGATTATTAAAAAATAAAAGATATGGTGCTTGTCAGATATAACACCCTCCGAATTTTATACTTTTTTTTATATCACTCGAAAGCATACATCGAAATAAGTATTCCAAGTCAAAAAAAAGTGTGGATGATCCATAATTTAATGAAAAAATAAACATCTAATTATTGCTACAACAGGCTACTTACTGTACGAAAACTCCTCCAAATTTTGTCGGCGTTGACAGATTCATTCATTTCTTCTTGAAGGTTCATTAAAAAAACACGTGCTGGTCGGAAGAAAACTCGCGTTAAGAACAGATTATAAATTATTTTAAAATCAAAGAAAAGGCGATCGTTTGAGGAATTGCTCCTACACATAGCTGATATTTTGCCTACGAGATTTGACTATTTATAGCTACAAAGTTGCACGAAAGAGTTTTGATTGCGTTGGTTTCAACTTCTTTTGGGGGTTAATCTGTTGTTTTTTTATATTTTAATATGAATCTGAGTGTTTTCAATGTCTTGATTAACAAAGTTATAATCTGTTCTTATCGTGACAGCGCTACTGTATAAGGATTTGTTCGTCCGGCGACCGGCACGTAAAATCAAGTGAAAGCAATCAGATTCGTATTAAAATAAAAAACAAAACAAAAGATTAACACCCCCACGAAAAGGTTGAAACCAAAGCAATCAAAACTCTTTCGGTTCCAACTCTTTTTTGTATCATGTAACGTACCGTATGATCGAAAGAAAACGGCGTCAGCCATGGCTATGAAATGAACATCGCTGTCATTTTATATGTAAAATTATATGGGGAATGTCATCGATCGTCATTTCAAGCCAAATGGACGCCGATTTTTTTTTCGATCATACGGTATTATATATCAACCACAAACAAAGAAATAGCTTTTGGCAACAATGCTTACACAGCTTACATCCTTAACAACAAATGGTGACAGACGGCTCCGGCAGCAAAGTTCGAATCGAAAGAGTAAATCCACAGGAGTAAATCGATCAGGCAAATATTACAAAGATATCCAGCAACTCTGTTTTTGATTTATGACTTATTAATGATTCTCAATGATTAAGTCTGACGTTTATATTAATAAAAATGCATATATAATCGTCATATTTTACAATAATTACACGCTTATACAACTTCACCATAACCTAAAATGCACTTTTAATTTATTTATTTTTCAATAAATTGTGGTTCATCCGCAATTTTTTTTTGCTTAAAATTCTTATTTAAGTGTATGCTTTCGACTGATATATAAATAAATGCCAAATTCGGAGGGTGTTATATCTGACAAGCACCAAAGATATTTTTCATAAAAAAATTACAAAGTTACTTATTTCTTTATACAGAGTGGACTAAATCACATTTTCACTTCAATCACAAAAAAATTGAATGACGGATTAGACGCGATGACGTATGACAGACAGGTGCAACAAATTCACGTCTATTGCCTATTTTTAAGAAGTTAATGCCATACAACATGAGACACCCTGTATATTTTTTCAAAATTTTGGGGGTCTAAACCGGTCTAAACAACATATAAATTTTTGAAGTAAATACCTATTTATAATATCTGTTCAGTTCAAATAAAATATTGTACAGGTGGCAAACATTAATTTCTAATGCTTGTAAGTCATTTACTAAATGATAGAACATTTATTAAACACACCAAACCATAAGACAGTTTTTAATGATCCGCAGCATTTTAAACAAAATACTAACGATACATCACTATTTTTAAGTGTTATTTTTGGAAGATCTAACTTTCAAAACAAATAGTATGCCTATATTGAATTTTAAAACAAAAAAGTAATAGGTATACACAAGATAAAACATTACAAATTTTCAAACACCCTCAAAATTATCTACTGCATTACAATACTCGACAAACAAAAAACAACATTAGCATTCCTATGTGTTATCAAGGAAATAAAGATTATTTCTATTAATAAAATAGCATATTTTATTCTTAAATCTTTCAGTACTAATCAACAGTACAAGACTTTTATTTGCACTAAATTAAAATTAACATTTTATGAAACAAAATTCTGAAATATTTTTATTAAACACTGCCAAAAAGTTTCTATTTTCCAAGTAACACCTATAAATTAGCGCAATAAAAGATATTTAAAGCTCAATGAAATATTTACAAGCATTTCCCTTTAAATTCAACAAAAACAAAGAAACAAATTTTTAGAACAGTTAAATTAATTACGAGTTGCCTACTTTCAATTATGTGTCATCAATTAAAGTCTAATTTAACACCTGGAAAAAATGTAGATTTTAATTTGTTATGGACTGGCAAATTCTATAATATCTTATCCACCCTGTATTAATTTGTTTACGAACATCAGTAAACACAAAAAACAAATGTTTGACAATTGTTTATTTTTCAATCAGGCAATGGCGCACGGCGTACTTACATCGTTATTTGCCGAGCCGTGAGCTCCCTGGATAGTGTTTGGATTTTCGTTATTCATGATATACTAAACAATTTCGCACAAAATAACCATATCATGTTCGAAACAGTCTTGTATATTTAAAGGTGGGTATTTTTAAATACAAAAATTTAACGTCAAATTATTTCCGTCTCGTGTACTGCTACGGCATCGGGGGGACGCGAGAGGTAGCCATTACAAAACTTAACAACTCGTTTTTCGCCTTTTTAAAGCCCACAAATCGATCCGCAAGCTCGGTATTATCATAACGCGACGGCCGCGATTCGTTTAACCATTTTCCGGTATCCGTTTATCACATATTTCGCTATAAATTTAATAAATTCGTATAAAGTCTGGAGATGAAGCGGGGCGCCGCAAACTTATAAACAGAGAAAATCAACATGGCGGATTCTGACAGTGCGATCGTGCGATTTGAAATAAACAAAGGAAATTTTTTAAAATCTCAAAATTTGAGTTTTACGCACCTCAAGGCAAATAATACGTGTTATTTTAATGTTATTCTCTTAAAATAATTAGTATAAAAATTATTTTAATTTGATAATTGCCATTTAAAATTTAAATTTGACCAATCCCTCCTATTTTTTCATGGCCCCGCCTACTACCTACGTCGATAGACTTCCATTTTGGCGCGAATATTTAAAATTTAAGATTATTTGTTGATTTTCTTATAAAATTGTTTAAAAAATACTGAAATATTATAAATAATTAATTAGTTATTGTATAAATAAAGCAAATCAATATTTAAAATATAACGCTATTCTGTTAACAACTCGTAAAATTTATTATCATAATATATGTATTTTTTGCAAAATTTATTGTTTTTTATTACTACTGTTTATATTAAAACTAGTAAAATTTGTTTGTATATTTATATAAGAACTATGATTTTTTCTTCTTTGCTAAATAAATCCGTACGAAAAAAAAACAGCATCAGAGATGGCTTACAATTGAAAATTGCTATCATCCTTGTTTAAGACCATTATTTTATATGTAAAATTATCTAGGGAAATGTCACCCATCGAAGCCAACTGGTCGCCATTTTTTTCGATCTTATGGTACCTTTTTCTAAGTACCATATGATGATACGAAAAAAAACGGCGTCAGAGTTGGCTTGGAAATGAAGATCGTGGTCACTTTCTGTGTAATGTATATGGCATACGTCATAGATCGTAATTTCAAAGCCAATCTGACACTGTTCCTTTTCTATAATATGATATAATCATAAAAATAGTCAATAGAAATAAAACAACATACTAAACTAATATTAATTTATTTATTTAAAGGTTATTTTTTAACAGATAAAAAATAAAACAATTCAAAATATCGATATACGATCGAGAAAAAACGGCGTCAGCGATGGCTATGAAATGAAGATCGCTGTCAAAATTATATGGGGAATGTCATCGCTAGTCATTTCCGAGCCAACTAGACGCTATTTTTTTTTCCATCATACGGTACAAAGATGCGGTTTTCGTATCACTGATACATTTTATGAAACTAAAGATGCTAAAGTAAACGCCACGAATGTTTGGGAGTGATTCATCGCTTGATGAAGTTAGAATCGACACGCGCGCTATCATTTTTACATTAAAAACGTTAATTTTTACCGCAGACGTAGGTTTTTAAGGGCCCGGTCTAATCATCCGCCTACGCTCCTCCTACTTATTCTAAAATGTTAGCGTGATTGTCATAGACGATACTATATCGCGTTTCTTTGATTGATTCGTTTTTGTGCGTCAGTCCATTGGTGTGCTTCCAGTGCGACCAATGGGACATTCCAGTTTATATTTATAACCAAATATATGTTTTGACAAGACTTTGACAGTTAAAACAACAAATTACAACAGATTATATATTAATTATTATATGACTTAAAACACCACGGCACTGGAATTAAGTTTTATGTGACCTTGAACAGATTAGTTCACATGATAGCGACCGATGAATCACTCCCAAACATTCGTGGCGTTTACTATACACATATATTTGTCCATCTTAGTTCCTGAAATACCGCGGGTGCGTCTCAAAAGTCACTCATCCCTATCTTTTTTATTTTTTCAAATAAAAAATCGAAATTTGGTATGTTAGTATATGACATAAATTAAGATTGATTGGCGTGTTCAATTGTTTTCGGTCACTTCCTGTTTCGCCTCAAATGACTACAACTTTTAATTTTTAAATGGCATCCTCGGTATTTCTTTTATTTTATTCGATAGAAAATGACACTCTGAATAGAATGTCATATATCATATGTCAACTTTTGACATTTTCGTATATGGTTTATTTGAAATTGTAACATACGGTTTACAACGATAATTTGGCTCGAAATATCAAGTGTGTGGTACTAAATTATTCGTAAAAAATGCTTTTTGTAAATATGCTAATGAGCCACCTTCGTTTCATTTGAAAAAATTGAGATATGATTAAAAATACGATTTGAGCATCTTTTAACATCCCAAGACAAGACACGGAAAACATCAGACGATGAAACCTATTTTTCCAAGGCTCCTTGATTAAAAATGAGTGTTTTTAACACAGCCATGGCACTCTAGATTGAAATTTAAAATACGATTTTTAAGCCAAAATGTCAAAATTTGACATATGATATGTCGTTCTATTCAGGGTGTCATTTTCTATCGAACAAGGTTGACTCAGCCTTAAAATGAGTACTTGGGATTCACAATCTTGAGGTAATAATAGGCGGTTGAAGCGTAGTGCTAGCTACATTACCGTCCTTGTATGCTGAACAGCTCTAGCATGGCAAGCTGTATCTTGCTACTCCCAAGGCGTTACACGCTATATACGGGAGCTATTATTAATTTTATATAAGGTAAAAAAATACTGAGAAAATTGTAGTAATTTCCGGTGAAACAGGAAGTGACCGAAAACAATGAATGAATACGTCAATCAATCCTAATATGTATGTTATGTCATATACTAACATACCACATCTCCTTTTTTATCTGAAAAAATAAAAAGTTATAGCGGTGAGCCACTTCTAAGGTAGGCGCACACTGACCAGCGCCGCACTCGCCGCACGAATCGCACTTTTTTTCCTTGTCGCGCACACTGAGCCGTACCGAACGCGCCGCATTATTCGCTATTTTGTTTCTTTTTGCCCCTACTACACCCGTATTTGCCAATCGAATTTCTCATCAGTCGCTTCCACAGTCCTGTCTGCGGTTGAGAAACGTGTTTTTTAATATTTCTCGACAATGATTGACAACGAACAAGAAATAATTATAAGCTCCTTGCTAATAGAAGAAGAAGAAATCACGAGAAAGAATCGAAAGTTATAGGTTCACAATATTTGCAAAAATCCACATTATTTCCATATTTAATTATCGAGGATGAACCAAAAATGTTTGAATATGAGCCATGAAATTTGCGAACTTTCTTAGCATATTGAATTTCGAATCTCCTCTTCGGCTACCTACGTAGAGTGGAAGGAATTGCGTGTGACGTCAGCAGCACTAGCCGCATTTATCGAAAATCATTCTGGCCCAACAATGCTGGCCGCATTTTCGTCGATGCGATTCGTGCGGCTCTGGCTAGTGTGCGCACCTTCATTGAAAGTATATAACACCCTTGTAACACAAACAATATTTTTCTTCGATAGAATTCAGTAGTGTAACTATTTTTTCGCTGGAAGCTGTAATTCTTGAAATATGACCCCAATTTACGTTTTTAAAATGGGATATCCTGAATATTAGATAAAAAAGACTATTACGATAAGGTTAACAACTTAATCGATAATGGCCCCTACATAAATTTGAAAAAGAATCCCTTGTCTAAGATGGTAGCAGACGTTAAAAAAACTCTAAAAGAATGTAACACCCTTATTGATCTTTCTTTAAAGAGGAAATTGCAAGTATCCAATCCCTCATTACCAAAATTGTATGCTTTGCCAAAAATTCATAAGCCGGACAAGTCTATGCGCCCAATTGTTCGGCTGTAGGTTCTCCGACTTATAATTTGGCAAAATGATTATCAAGGGAGTTCGAAAATTTACCTGATCATGAACCTTCTTTCTCAGTTAAAAATAATATTGAATTCATTAACAAAATTAAAGATATAACATTGCATGAAGGTGAAATTTTGGTCTACTTTGATGTATCTTCGTTGTTCCCAAGTGTTCCAATTCCACATATTTTAGGCTACTTAAAGGAATTACTGAACGCAAATGGTCTCGACAACAAAACTGTGAGTGAATATATTGAGCTTACATCGTTATGTATGAAACAAAATTGTTTTCAATTTAATAACAACTTTTTTGAACAGCGGGAAGGTACAGAAATGGGTAATCCATTGTCTCCATTTTTGGCTAATTTATTCATGAGCAGGTTTGAAGTGGAGGCTAAGAATCAGTTTGGGTATTTTCCAAGAGTATGGTTTAGGTATGTGGATGATATTTTTGCTGTTTTTGACACACATTCAGACACTATAGATAATTTTATTTCTAAGTTAAATAATCGTTTTCCTTCCATTAAATTTACGCATGAAATTGAGAACAACGACAGATTACCATTTCTAGATGTATTAGTTATTAGAAATACTAATAATTGCCTGGCATTTGATATCTATAGGAAAAATACGACCACACGCAGATATATTCCTAATGAATCACATCATAGTGTTGAACATAAAATGGCTAGTTTAAATTTCTTAGTTCATAGGTTACTTAGTTTCCCACTTTCCAACGAAAGATATGAAATAGAAAGAGATTACATTAGGAATGTAGCTGAGTGTAATGGATATTCTCCTTTACTAGTTGATAAATTAATTAGAAAACGTAGGTATAGGTTAATGATTTCTGAAAATTCGACTTTTCAAGTGGAGAAAGATACGTCTAAATATTTTTCGATACCGTTTGATAGAGAGTTATCCCGTGTCTAAAAGGAATTTTTAAGAATGTCAATTATAAACTTGTGTATAGTGCTAATAATAAATTACAGCAATTATTAGGTAATCCAAAAGATAAAACACCTCCACTGGAAAGGTCGGGTATTTATGAAATTTCTTCTAAAGATTGTAATCAGAAATATGTTGGGCAAACTAGAAGATCAATATTAACTAGATTTAAAGAACATTTAGCTCAGATAAGATATGGTAGACCGGATAAATCTTGCGTTGCCGAACATATTGTTGATAAAGAACATTGTATGGATCTTAATAATTTAAAATTAATTAAACAAGTCTCAAATTACAGGCAATTAGATGCATATGAAAGCATCAGAATTAATAAATGTAAAGATAGTATGAACAGAGACAGATAGTAACAACAAAGACAATTCCTTCAAGTTCTTCGTTCCTACTACTCTAGTGGCGGAAATCTAACTGTTACGCTCAGTGGGCTCTGACTCGCTTGGCTAGATTTTGCCACGCCCACTCGGTGCCCACTGAGCGAGTATATAAACGCTTAACTTGTAGATTGTACTTTAGTTTATAATCATCTGCTGATGATGCTAACATGGTTAGCGAAACGCGCGTCCAGTGTAAAAGTAAAAGTGTTTTGGTGTATTGTGGTGATTTAGTGTTTTTATTTTGCTGTATAACACCAAAGGTTCCAACCCTCAACTGTAATCCTGTATATTATTTTTTATTTTTATTTGCCCTATTTATGAGCTTTCTAAAAACATAATATATTCTATATTCTATACTTAAATTCATAAACAATGTCAAATTTTAGGTATTGGCTATTCCACGCTAGTTACTGTGTGTGAATTATTGCACAAGTGTATCAAAAATATCACTAACTCTGATGGAGAGTGTTACCCAAAAGGTGCACAAGTTCATTTTCAGTGCAGTTTAATAAGATAACACGATGAAAATAAAAACTATCTGGTTAAGGAACCATTTTTCCATTTTTTTTTTTGGTAAAAAATTAACAAGCACCATTAACCACATGTTTTTTTAGCTTTCCAACACTTCATCTATCACATCTTCTGTACTATCTTGAGAGGACATTTTGGGGACCACAGGAATGAAAGTACTCAGCGGCACCTCAAGCCCTTTGGCCAGAACTTCCAGTATTTCTTTATTCACATAATACGTTAAAGGCGTTTTGTTCTCTTTGCTGGACAGGAACTGTTTCAGTTCAAATATGATCTGCTGGGCTTCGGTGTAGTTGCCTAACTTCACGCAGTTTTGTATCATTAAACCGTAGATGTCACCTCGACGTATCGAGGATTCTAGTTCTTGGCCTCCCATGACTAACAGTTGGCGACATTGTGTCATTCCTAAGACATACAGAAATAAAAATTAATCCAGCCCCTTAAAAAATTATAGAGTGTGGCGCACCTCATTCGCCTCGGTTGATTATACGGAAACGGAAACATGTAGAAACAAAATATTTTACGGGTATATGTGGGGAGGCAATGTGCACAATTTAAAATTATTTTGGAATATATAGGGTGTTTCAGAACTAAGATCCATACCAAAGTTGTATTTTTTCTTACGGAACACCCGGTATTTTATTTCATTTTTCGATTCTTGGGCCCAAAAAAGATGTTTATTATAAGGGTTAAATATGTTTAAAATCTTTGGTTTCTGAGATATTTAAAGATATTTAAATTTGCATGCTACAATAGAATAGATTATTAACACCCTGTACATTACTTTTCAGAATTAATTCTTGTGCTGATTTTAAAGGTAGAGAAATAAACTTCACAGAAAAAATGTTACTGCTTCCTTAAATTTATACAGGAGTATCAAAAATTGCTGATCTATTTTAAGAATTTATTTTACATAAAAACTTCGTTATTCCAAACCAAACACCCTGTATTTTTTTAAATAAATCGGAGCAGATTCAAATGCTCTTTCAAATTTATATTAGGGTTTCCTATACCTATCTAGCTCAGATTTTGAAAAAGAGCAATTTTTCAATAAAATGACAACCAAGAAGGCTAGTGTCGTCATTGCAAGTTTCCAGTGACAGTTAGTAGCTATTTTCAAAATCGAAACTAGTTTATGGGCTTTTTTAAATTTATACCGGTTGGTTTTATTTAATTTACCTACAATAGTTTAATAAATAATATTTATTATTCTATTAAGAAAAACGGAAGAGTAGTTCTTTGGATTCATATATGGATTTTCTATAAAAGAGCCAATTACGTCAGATTCATTTTCTTCGCTTCCAACGACAGGTGTCTGCCTAATAGTAATAGGTTTTTTATATACCACACTACCAGCTCTACGAAATAGAAAAAGTAGTTTTTCAAAGGAACATTTATCAGGAAGATTCCTATTTGGATATCTTTGAGCATAAGCCCTTGAGACCAAGAAGCAATTTTCCTCACAAATTAAAATCACTAGTAACATATCTATTCGTTCCGCCATGCCAGCAGATACTGCTTTATTTTTCTTGATAAAATAATGAATACTTACTTATTAAACTATTGTATGTACATTTAAGTAAACTGTTATAAATTATGAATAATAATGTCCATAAACTAATGTCGACTTTGAAAATAGTTACTTAAACTGTCACTAGAAAATGTCCATAGCGACATAAGCCATCTTGATTGCAATTTTATTTAAAAATCGCTTTTTATTCAAAATCTGAGCTAGGCAGGTATAGATAACCCTATTATAGTTTGAAAGAGCATTTGAATCTGATTCGATTTATTTAAAAAAATACAGGGTGTTGAATTTGAAATAATGAAGTTTTTATATAAAATATATCCTTAAAATGATCAGCAACTTTTGGTAGCCCTGTATAAATTTAAGGAAGCAATAGCATTTTTCAGTAAAGTTTATTTCTCTACCTTTAAACTCAGCATAAGAACTAATTCTGAAAAGTAATGTATAGGTTGTTAATAATCTATTCTATTGTAGCATGAAAATTTAAATATCTTTAAATATCTCAAAAACTAAAGATTTTAAACATATTTAACCCTGAAAATAAAGGCCTTTTTTTGGGCCCAAGAATCCAAAAATGAAATAAAATACCATAAGAAAAAATATAACTTTGGTATGGATCTTAGTTCTGAAACACCCTGTATATTTCAAAATAATTTTAAATTGTGCACATTGTCTCCCCACATATACCTGTAAAATATATTGTTTCTACATCTTTCCGTTTTCGTATATTCAACCGAGGCGAATGAGGTGTGCCACCCTGTATACAGGGATCTTTGGCAACTACAATAGAATATTTATTTCTATTGATGTCACTCACCAGCTTGGGTATCTCCTCTTTCAAACAGCTTTTTAATGTCAACAATCTTCTTGACCATACTGAGTCTCTGTTGCACTATCTCCATTGCTCTCTGTATATGGGCCGGTTCTTTTGAGCTTGTTATCTTTTGCAAACACCTAGATGCTTCGGTGAGAGCACCAAAAGCTTTCTCGTAGTTTTGAAATTCGTCAATTTCAACCTAAAAGAATTTTAGAAAGGATGAACTTCCACTGTCTTTATTTTTTTTTAATTTATATATGTCGTAGTCTCATAGTGTATTCCGTCTTTTCATGAAGAGCCTAGTCACTTAACGAAAAAAACTAACCTAACAACATAACTAGCCTGCTAACCTAACAGACGCTTCATGAAGTGACTATAGGATCTTCACGAAAAGACGGAATACACTATGTCACTACGACATATACAAGGTGGTCCAGGGTGGAAGTTTCCGGAAGACGGTTCTTCAGGAAACTTCGGCAGCATATTCTGCGGATAAAAATAAGTAAAAAAGTTCCTATAAATATATGTTCTAAAATACTTAGTTTCTGAGATAGAGGGTGTAGAATTTTCATTTTTATTTCGAGATTTTTTCCAAATAATTTATGAAGTAACGTCAAGATTTGGATAAAAATTGGTGTCTGGGAGTTTTTTGAAATGAAAAATTTGATTTTGATGTCAATATAACTCCTACTCGTTGAGGGCTACATACTTTTTAACTGGATTGAAGAGAACTTTTCGTCCGTACCTGTATAAAACTACTGAGTAAAAAAATATACATTTACGATGTTTTTTACGTAAAAAAGGTCTCTTGGTAAAAATCGCTGCGAGTTATGGTTCTCGAGATATTTGGAATCGAAATTATCAATATCTGTCATTATTGACATAAATTAAACATGTTGACTAAATGAATCGGTCATTTCAGAAACAACACGAGTCAAAAATTACAGTTTTGAGATATTCATGACTCATGTGGTTTCTGAAGGAATCCGGTATTTTCATAGGCTGCAGTACATTAAGTTAAGCCAAGACTGGTGTTGTTTCTGCACACAATGGTGCGTTTGCGTATAAAAAGAAGATTATTGTGGAAATATCAATTTCAGAAAAAAATGACTCATGTTGTTTCTGAAATGACCGATTCAAATAGTTATTAGACTGAAATCATAAATTTGAAATGTTTTTGTGTCAAAAGTTCGACAGAAACTGTTTTATCATCATTTTTTCGCAGAAGAATTTATAATTAATCTGAAAAAATAAAAATTTCACAAATTTATTATTTTAGTTAAATAACTATCTACTCAACGTATTTATTTTTTATCAATAATGACAACATGTACTGAATATTTCCATTTTACATACCATTACCAAGAGACATTTTTAACGTAAAAAGTCACAGAAATGTTTATTTTTTCACTCAGTACTTTTATACAGGTACGGACGAGAGAAAAGTTGTTACTCTTCAAAACAGTTAAAACACAGGTAGGTGGCGCCCTCTACAAACAGAAGTCATATAGACATCAAATCGAATTTCTCATGTCAAAAAATTCCCATATACCAATTTTCATCCAAATATTGACGTTACTTCAGAATTTATTTGGAAAAAATTGAAATAAAAATAAAACTTCTATACCCTGTATCTCCAAAACTAAGCATTTTAGGACATACATGTATACGAACTTTTTTACTTATTTTTATCTGTAGAATATACCGTTGAAGTTTCCAGAATACAGTTCGGATCACCCTGTATACTACGATATTACCAGAGTAAGTGGATCCACGAGTAGCGACAGAAACCGTCGGCTCTTTTAATGTGGTGGGACCAAATTTTCTTTCTCTACCTTTTGACGTGTTTGACAGATAGACTACCTATTTAACTGCTCAACTTATGAAGTTGTCCTATAAACATGGTATACACTGCTCATAATTTGAAGTGGAATTAATTATAAAGTTTTATACATATTTTTTTTAGTTTTGTTTAATCCCTATTTCTAAATTTGAATGTATAAAATATCTTACAGCTAATAAATAATTTAAAAAAATGATTCATTGCCTGAGGCATACTTGAAATAGAGTATATAGAGATATTTGATAAATGGCAACAGTGGCAACTTCGCTTCTTCATATGACAGATAGACTACTTATTTCGCGCAGCCGCAAAGAAAATTGAAAATGGGACTGTCGCTACTCGTCGATTTACTTACTCTGATATTATGCTATCCTTACCTGTGCACAGGCAACATAAAAATTCGCCAACAGATCTTGCGCTTTTCCTTTGGAATAAAACGTTATAATGTTGCGTAAGATTTCCGGTTGGTTTTGCCAATCGAGAGATTGCAAATAGTTCGCCGCCATTATATAAATCTCTTTTTGTCTCGATATACCAGCGAAAAATATTATTTTCTCCGTGTCTCCCGATTTTAACAAGGCCTTCATCGCTTGTATCTGAAAAAAAGTATGTTTTACCCAATACTATGCTTAAATAGCATACGATCAAGAAAAAAAAGCGTCAAAGGCGACTGGGAATGATAATCGATGATAATTTTGGCCATGGTCAAGCCCTAGAGGTCATTTATTTGGTGAAACTTCTTTACGCCTGCTGCACAGTGGTTCCCCTTAATTAGCTGCGCGGTCATAACTGTTACATATCTAGATATAGCTTAACTACACATTTGTTAATAGAAATTGATAACAAATGCTTAATAAATGTATATAAAAAACTTCATGTAACATGTATTAAAAAAATTGGGCCCAGTTTGTGTGATTTGCATTTTAAGTTAAACCAAACTATTCGGAAAGGTATACAGATTATGTTTGCACATATGTACAGTGTGTCCCATTTTGGTTGAAATCATAGGGTATCTCCGTTATTAGTGAAGATAGAAGGGTGCGGTTTGCACAAACCTGTCCCACTTTTTCGTCAAACGGAAGATGCTGCAAACAAAATTTTCATAGCCCTCTTCATTTCTGAGCTACAGGGTCTTTTCAAAAATTTTGCAATTTGGGACACCCCCTGTATCTCTGTTATTGTTAAAGGTATCGAGAAGGCGAAAACTGCTTATTGTAGAACTTTTTACGTAGAATACAGTGGCGTAGTCTGTTTTTCTACCAAAAAAATATTTTTGAAAATATGAACTAAAGTTATGTTTTTTCAAACGGAACACCCTGTATATTTATAAATCATATGATCTGTTTTGCTATGAGCTTCTCAAAAATATATATCACTCTATATTTATTTTTACTATTTACTGCAATATTTAAAATATATCATTTTCTTATTAGTAGGCCGTGATAAATAACAAAAAATCAAAATGGTATTTACTAAAATAGTCATACACATATTAAAATTTATCTGGGATTGATATATTTTACTTTCGAAATAACTGTTACCACTGAAACTGTGAATATATTTTTCTTTTTTTATAACGGGATGGGTTTGCAAATATCTAAATCTTGAATTATTAAAGCATTTTTCAGGTGTTCGAAATTGTTGTAGTGCCCACGATATATTTCGTATTTCGAAAATCCTCAAAATCAGAAATCGAGAACGACGAAATCCGGGAATCGAGGAGGCTATCAATATGTGTTCATTGGTTCCAATTCATTGATTTGAAAAATAATAATTTAACAGTATTCTAATATTTCCATAGTTATGTGGGGGAATGTTCCCCATCTTGCTGAAAGTATATTTGACGTAAATTAGCTAAAGGAATATCTAAAATTTCCGATACGATAGATTAGTCTTACGTATACACGTATTCCAAGATTTACAAATAGCGGTAGAGACTTAAGTTTCCCTAATATATAAAGAATTTATTAGCGGCTCCCAAAATAAAACAAAAGACAGATAGGAGTATACTTTTAATAATTCTTTAGATTCTTTTATTATCAATCATGGCCTACTAATAAATATGATCTTTTAATAAAAACTTTTAAATATTGCAGTAAAAAGTGAAAATAAATATAGAGTGATATATATTTTTGAGAAGCTTATGGCAAGACAGATCATATGATTTATAAATATACAGGGTGATCCATTATTTAGTTCATATTTTCAAAAATATTTTTTTGGTAGAAAAACAGACTACGCCACTGTATTCTACGTAAGAAGTTCTACAATAAACAGTTTTCACCTTCTCGATAGCTTTAACAATAATAGAGATACAGGAAGGTGACCCAAATTGCAAAACTTTCAAAAAGACCCTGTAGCTCGGAAACGAAGAGGGCTATGAAAATTTTGTTTACGGCATCTTCCGTTTGACAAAGAAGTGAGACAGGTTTGTGCAAACCGCACCCTTCTATCTTCACTAATAACGGAGATACCGTATGATTTCAACCGAAATGGGACACCCTGTACATGTTTTTTCATATTGAAGAGGTCACATTTATTTTAAATGTTGAAAAAATAAAAGAGACAGTTGTTTCATTGTATAAATACAATTTTATTGTAAATTGATATACAGTGTGTCCACGAAATAAGTTGACACGAAGAGGAAAAAATAAGTTACTTTTATTTTAAGACAAACAGTCATCTTTAACCACCCGGTATAAGATCCGGCGGCAATTCGCGGCAGCCAGTGGCAATTAATTTATATGCAACATACTTTAAGCAAAAAGTATTACCATGCTGTTTAAGAGGATTTGAAAGGGAAAGTAGTCATAAAGAGTAACAAGCAAAAATGTAAAAATACTATTTTTGTTGCCTTCAAATAAATTGCCATAAACTAATATTACTTAGGTTTAATTAAGCGCAAAAAAAAAACAGTTCTTTTTACCTCTTTTTCGAACGTCCATTACAGAAAAGGCAACAGCTATTAACAATTTTAATAAAATAAGTAATTAATTGGCGTTATCTGAAAACTGTTAATGTCAGCTTGATACCAGTAGCAAAAATGTGACATTTCTAATAGAAAAAGCGCTACACTAGGCTTACTTGATTTTGTTATTTATTATGTATCGTTTACAGGGGAATATAAGAAAAGTATTAGCAACAGTTTCATGAAAACATTTTGAAATTAATATTTCTAAGTAATGACCTATCTGGGAACCACTGTGCGCTGGGAGTAAAAATTCAAAGCCGTGACCGTGACACAAGACGCGAGACGAATAGTGGCAAGGATAGACTACGGCTTAGAAAAAATCATTCGATTTAGATGAAATTTGGTATGTCGATACATTGGACCAAGGCTAACTTGACCGTGTACGACACGTGTCAAACTGTGACAGTTTTGACGTAAAAAACTTCAAAAGTTGATGTCATCGATTGTCATTCCCCCGCTGTCTTTGACACCGTTCGATCATACGGTACTTATAAATATTGTACCTTATCTCCAGACTGTGTAAATTTCTTAGTGGCCAAATGGTAATCTCCCTGTAGCATAAGACTTTCCGCTAAAGTTTTCAACACGCTTACGCGTAACTCTTCATCTATACAGTCCTTTTCTGGCGTTAATTTTTCAGTTAAATCTTCCGTTAACTGAACGTTGTGGTTTATACACAGTTGTATAGCTTCCCTGTACTGAAATAAATAAATAGTTATTATACAGGGTGACGGATTAGTTAACTTAACAAATATCATTTGGTGAATGTATATATAGTAATCGCAAAACAATTTCCGATGCACGTGATCGACTTTGAGTGACAAGCGATGGCGACAGCGCTGCCAGATTGTGATCGATTTATGAGAGGAATCTTAATTTAAGAGTGACAAACAATATATTTATTGTCTCGTTTTTTAAAGATTTTTACGTTTTATTTTTAATTTAATGACTAATATTTTAGTAATTAATTGATTTATTTGTTTTATAGCTTATTTTACTTGTTACATATTGGCAAAAACTAGTCCATTATGAAGATTATTCTAAGCGTGATTATGAGTTATTTATTTATTTATTGATGTACAGGGTGTCCCACTAAGAATAGCTCTCGGCTGTATCTTGGAAAGTATTAGTCGTAGGGCCTACGGAAAAAGATATTTATAACTAAAGGGGCTATGAGATATTGCTGGAAATTATTTTGAAGTTTGTAAAACGGCCGCTAGAGGGCGCAACTGATATGGAAAATAAGAAAATAGGATTTTTACAGGATTTTGCCTAAATAATGGGTACTATAAATAATATTTTCATAATCTTCAGTATATTTTGGGATTTTTTTTGTTAGAACCATTTTCCCCTATCTGCTAAAATAAAATGGTGGGGGAAGGTTAGATCTGTCTTTATTTAAATATTAATAACTCTGGACTGAATGGTCGGAATCCAACAAGCGAGGGCTCGTTTAAAAGAGCGTTTCTTACTCTATATTACACCATAAAAATAATAATAAGGTTTTGAACGTAGGTGCTAGACGGCGCTTTATTACAATTTAACAAACATAGCGCGCTTTTTCAAAAATATTAAATAAACAAGGGTAATAGTAAAGAGTAGTAAAAGCTTAAAAAGTCACCGCATCTTGATATCTTCTTTCAAACCGAAGATATTAGCAAAATTATAATAAATACCAAAAAATAAGCCCTTAATTACCTTATTTTTACAACACGGTATTAGTAGCCCTCTTGATTATGCCCATTCTTATCAAAAAAAAAGATAGAAACAGTTTATTTTAAAATCGAAGAAATACCTGAATACCATAATACCAGATGTATTAATATCTAATAATTAAGATATTAATAACAGTGAACAAGAAACGATGATTCAGTGAAGTCATGGTAAGCTTTGGAAAAAAGTTGCTTTTGACGTAATAGTATAAACGTCAAATTGTTATTAGATCAACATTTTGATAGTCTTACAGTGTTTTTTTATCTTTTAATTGCTCTTTCAAAATGCCTGTATTATTTGAACTAGTTGAAGTTGTGTTCGCATTTTGAAAAAAACAATCAAAAGATAAAAAACGCTGCTAAGACTATCAATATGTTGATCTAATAACAATTTGACGTGTATACTATTACGTCAAAAGCAACTTTTCCAAAGCCTACCATGACTTCACTGAATCATCGTTTCTTGTTCACTGTTATTAATATCTTAATTATTAGATATTAATACCTCTGGTATTATGGTATTCTGGTATTTTGTTCGATTTTAAAATAAACTAACTGTTTCTATCTTATTTTTTGTTAGAATGGACATAATCAAGAGGGCTACTGATACCGTGTTGTAAAAATAAGGTAATTAAAGGCTTATTTTTTGGTATTTATTATAATTTTGCTAATATCTTCGGTTTGAAAGAAGATATCAAGATGCGGTTTTCGCTGACTTTTTAAGCTTTTTACTACTCTTTACGATCAGCTAAAATTACATGCATTTAATTTTTAAAAAAAAAATTAAAAAACGCGCAATGCTTGTTAAATTGTAAGACAACGCCCCCTAGCGTCTACGTTCAAAAGCTTATTATTACTGTTTATATGGTGTAATATAGAGTAAGCAACGCTCTTTAAAACGAGCCCTCGCTTGTTGGATTCCGACCATTCAGTCCAGAGTTATTAATATTTAAATAAAAACAGATCTAATCTTCCCCCACTACTTTATTTTGGTAGATAGGGAAAAATGGCTCCAACAAAAAATATTCAAAATTTACTGAAGATTATGAGGCTATTACTTATAGTACACCTTATCTAGGCAAAATTGTGTAAAAACTCCATTTTCCTATTTTTTGTTGCAGTTGCGTCCCCTAGCGGTCGTTCTACAAACTTGAAAATAATTTCCAGCAATTGCTCATAGACTCTTTAGTTATAGATATTTTTTTCCGCAGCACCTACGGCTAATACTTTCCGAAATACAGCCGAGAGCTATTCTTAGTGGGACACCCTGTACAATTTTTAAAAAAGACTATGAAAATAGGCAAAAAACGAGAATTACGCACAAAGATTCAACAACAACACGATATTATACAAAATAATAACTGACATTAGGATAATTGTCAAATAATAAACGACAACCTTGCTGAAAACGGCGCAATGTGACCAATACAGCGGTAATAAAATTCGGTTTAAACTAATTTTTGCAGCTTTAATCTAAATAAGATATCCGTTACAATCATTTGCTCTATAAAGTAAAATGAAGAGCTGCTTGGTATCTTAAATTATACAAAAAATTTAAACATTTTTGCCAAAATTTCATTTAGACAGGTTTATAGACTTTAGTGTCAATGTCAATAGTGTAATTGTCGACAACATGAGAGAAATTACTGTAGCTGATTTTCGTAGTAGAACTCCACATATGACTTTTAACATGAAAAAATCTTTCGAAAAGAGAATAATAACCTCCAACCCACAGTTCCGGCGCATGCGTATTGGAACGGCAGAACAAAGTAATGCTTCAATATAGCTTGGTTACCAAAGCAGCGTATAGCTCCGTGGTTGAGGCTGTCGCTTCGGGAATGACGGGTCATTGGATCGATTCCCGAGATATACTCTGCTTTTTTGCCATTTATTTCACTAAAAAAGTTTTTTTTTTTTGAGTCAACTATGGATGGGTTTATAAATATATATATATATATATATATATATCCGTCATGCGTCGTCTCTTGTTCTTTTTAATCAGTTTTATCGGTTTATTTCAAAAACGACAGATCATATTTCAATATTATTGGTTTAAAGGAACGATGAACGACAAACGGACGCCGATGCGTATGAACTCGACTTATGATTTTTGAGAGTTGACAAACTCTTCCCAAATTCTAGGTAATAATTTTATGTCAAATTATGTCAAATAGAAATGATAAATATTTTGCATTCTGCATTTTGGAGTGTGTTATTACATGTGTCCCGTGTTTTTTTAAATTAAGTCGATGAAAACTGGAGGGAAAATTAAGTGTTGACCCCAAACCATAGTTTACAGTTAATATTCCATGCCCAGAGACCGCCAGAGAGTTGTATTAGCTAAAATTAAGTTTGTATACCATCTCGTATATTATATCAAAAACTGGAGTATCTGTAAAATAACATCACATGATAGATAAATAATACATTTTAGTACTGCAGAGAGATAATGTCAAAAGGTACTGGTTTAATAAAATTAAGATTAAAGTTAATTAACCAACTTTTAAGGTATAAAAATCAGTAAGTATTATTATTAATAAAATATTTTGTTTTATTTATTCCTTTGCAATACGTATATAAGTTATATTGATAAATGAAATAATAAATGCAAGAAGTTGCTTGCTTGAGCTTGAAAGTAAGAAATCTTTTTTATATATTTTTTTGGTATGTGGTGTTTTGTTTAAAATACGCCCTTGCTTGTTTTGTATTAACACATACTAAATTTTTTTAATAAAATAACTTGATTAGGTTTTTTCAGTTTTATACAGTTTTTTTTCACAATAATTTGAAGTAATCACTCAAATTTTAAATATACTATTTTCTGCTATACATATGCTATGCTATATATACCAACTTATTTCTTTTTAAAACGAAATAAACTACTTTGAAATTAAAATGACAGACACATCTATCACTGTCAAGGATCTTGTTGTTGGACAGACTATAGAATTTTTTTATATATTTTTTAAAGCTGTTTTTTTCTATTTATTTAGAGCTGCCGGTAACAGCGATCAAAATACGCCGTAGGTGTATTTTTATTGCGTTGGTTAGTCTCTGGTGTAAGTTTTTTTGTTTATTGATTGTACGCGAAATACCCGATCGATAGAATATTTTGAACGGGAAAGCGATTTAAATAGCCCTTTACGTCCCTTAGGTGCAGTTAGGGAGGTGAGTTTCGTTGATGTAAATAAAAACTGTTTATATGTTTATAATGTGTTGTGACCATTTCAAATGTTACATAATAAAATTGCCGAAAAAATGTTAAAGCGTAAAGGAGAGCGTAATTAGGGCTACAACGTTCAATAACTCAACTTTCCCGGATATTCAACTCTCCCGAAACAATCTTTTATAGCTTCATAGTTTCTCACACCGATTTGATCAAAAGCAAATATGGATTCAAGCAGTTCGACGAAATAAGTGAGTCAACAAAGTGCTCGTTACATTATAAAAAAATTAAATAGACGTATACTGTGAGAAGATAAAATATAATTTGCAATATTAATGGTATACTTTTTTTACGCTACCGTAGGCCTTCTAAAGATATCAAAATATTTACTTTTTTATTTTTATTTTTAGAATTTTTACAAATTATACTTCCCAGCACTTTTAGAATAATTAAATAATAAATTTTTCGTATACTCGCTATTTAAACCTGTGTATTTGTATATATCGATTATTTACGATATTCTGCGATGATGGCAGCACCGGCGGAGAACGCACCAAGCCTATATGAAATGATTCCCTATATGTTTACCTTACCTTTTTAGCTATAGCTAGTAGATCCACAGCTTTATCAAACTGTTCGTTGCTGACAAAATACTGTACGCATTTTTCTATAATAGCTGGATCCGAATCAGCGTCCAACTGAGTAGCAATTTCTTGCAGGATATCGAACTGACGCGTTTTAAAACTCAAATCTAGCGCTTTATGCAACATTCCGCCCCTGTGATACAGAATAACCGCATTTTCCAAGTTATTTTGCTCCTCGAAGTATTTGGCTATTTCGATTTTTTCTCGATTGCTTACTACCAGGCCTAGAAGAAATGGTTTTTGTTAAAAGTTCGTCTAAACCAAAGATATTTAATCTCAAGAGATACAATTGTTTAACTTTTTCCTTCATCGGCCATTCTATCCTTATTTTCCCGTCTCTCTTACACCGAAAACATTTCCCAGATTTACATGTATATTGGTATTAGTATTCGATCAAATACCATAACCAATTATGAAGTAATAAATAATTTCGTTATATTTCTATAATATATCAAGTACATTAATTTGCTAACGTCGTTTTTTCATTTAATGCTTAACTGATTAACTATTTTAAATTTTATAATGGAACTAGCGTGTACCCGCGACTTCGTCCGTGTCGAATTAATCATTTGTAATGGTGATGATAAAGCAAAGCAAGATTTTCCATTAACATACAAACTGGATAAAATTTTCTCACATTTATGTCAGCATGAGAAAAAACAATAAGGCGATATTTTTATATAACTTGGTAATATTTGAGGGGTAGTTTCATCTCGTTGGAATTTTACTTTCGAAAAATCCGTTTGCCAAAAATCAGCTTTTTACGTCAAGCAGTCTAAGCAGAATCGTGGTTAATCAATTACCCACCTTTTTGAAACACCCTGTATGATTTTTTAAAAAATTTCGAAATATGTTAAAAAAACAAAATAAATTATGCGTGTCCAAGCGTTTTCCCGAAAGACTAACCGTTTTTTAAATAACAAATATTGTAATATTTGAGGGGCGTTTTCACCCTCTTGGATTTTGAGATTCGAGAAACCCCTCCTTATCGAACCTCTGCACCCCACAGTCAATCCGTTTTACAAAAATCAGCTTTTTACGTCAAGCGCCTTAAGCAGGATCGTGATTAATCAATGACCAGATTTTTCGAAACATCCTGTATACATTTTTAAAAAAATCTTGTAAAATATGTAAAACAACAAAATAAAATTACGTGTTTAAGCGTTTTTTCGGAAACTTGACCGTTTTATAAATAAAAAATATTGTAATATTTGAGGGGTGGTTTCGCCCCCTTGGAACTGGAATTTCGAAAAATCCCTTCTTATCGAACCTCTACACCCTAGAATCAACCTGTATGCCAAAATTGAGCTTCTTACGTTGAGTGGTTTGAGCAGGATCGTGATTAATCAGTGAGTATAGATAAAAATATCATGGTCGTGTTTCTTTTAATAATAAAAAGCAGTTTGGCAACGTCAGTTTTAGAAATATGTAGGCGTAGTACAACCATATGTACAACGGATTTCGAGGATGAATGAAAATTCCTAGATTCTGCCGTTGCGAGGTTGCTATTCCGCCGTTCAAGCTCCGTATTTTTTATTTGCAGTATTATAGTATTTTTGCATTACTTTGTGGACTTCTGTGGACATATGGTGCATTCATGTATTGTGTACAAGAGAGAGTATCATTTAAATCCAAATTTAACTTTTCACCGGTAAATAAAAATAAGTAGGGTTAGGTATATTATTATACTCTTTTCTCTGTAGATCAGAGGCGTACCCCGACATAAAAAATAGCAAATTATATTTATTTTTAGGTTTGTTTTTTAAATTATATATTTATTAATTAAATTGCTTGTAGGAAAAAGGTACACGCGGTACGTACTAATTACAAGTAAGTTAATAACAATTTCTGTTTCGCTTTTAAGAAAGGGTATTGAATGTTAAAAATTAAATTTAAGTTCTATAAACCGCCTGTAATTTATAAAATTACGAATATCTATTTCCGAAAAACCGTACTTTCTTATAAGAATAAATATAATCTAGGTACCTACTTGGGTTTGAGTACCATTACCTGCCTTTTGTGAAAATTTTATTGGGGTGTACCAAAAATAGAATTTTCCGGCCTTACTTTTTTTGTTGCCGTTACAATTTTATACCATTTTTGTTTTAAATTTTGGTTTCTATAATGTAAAAGGACATCTTTTGACATATACAATAAAATGAATGTACTTATTACATGAATTTTATGACTTTCTTACATTTTGTTGTATTTTTACATTTTATTGTATTGAAATTATTTGCACATGCACTTTTTATTATTTATAAACAATATGAATTTACCTTTGCAAACAAGAGAAAAAAAACTAAATATTTTTTAAAACTAAGCGAAAACCGTTTACTAAACGATTTTGTAAAATTATCGCTAGAATTTTCTGATGACTGTATTATAATATTAAATAATTTTGTAAAGATATACACGTATAATAAACATATATTTTGAGTTCTGATTCACTGTGTTTGGAACATCCCTAAAATCGAAGTTACGATAAATAAATGTTGAATTTTCTTATTTCTTATTCCCTCATTTGTGAACAATTATTGTGAACTAATAAAAATTATAAGGCACATTTTGAATTTTATTCATTGTTTTTTATTGTAGTTGTAAAATGCATATACCCCACTGGCAAGCGAACCTTTAGGTCGGCGTTTACATGTATAGAAGTGAGTCGTTATGGCAATCTAGTAAGTCGGAGTGAGCAAAAATACGAAGTACTTATTACATAACTACTTAATGTGACGCTAGATTCCATGCGCTTGGGAAAATACTCGCCTTCTGTCTTTATTCAGTACATTTTATTTTACTAAGCGTGTTGACCGTACTCTTCGAACCCATGAAAACCGGCACCCAAGACCAAGAACAGTTAACCTAATAGGACTGCTCATTCAGCCAAAAGTGTCCGCCAGGTGCATGCGAAAACTACTCGCTTTGTGACGTCATTGTAGCCCTTGTCATGGTTATTAGTCCTTATCCGGCAACCAATAATACACAGACGTGCATTATTGGTTACCGAATGCAAAACGTTCATTTTTTAGTTTATTTATTTAAACACCTTATATGTATGCAGTAAAGAAAATTAACTGTATAAATCGTATAAAATACTCGGATAATGCATTTTTAAGAACAGCAGGTCCAAGCATCACCTTTTGCAAGCATTCTTTTTAGAGTACTTCCATATTTTGCTTTAAAATAATTAATAAACAAAATCGTTGGCACTTAGTATGCACTTTGTCACAATCCACAACACAAAATGAACGTATTTATACACTCTATAGCTCTAAAAACTTTAAAGACACCTTTTTCACATTTAAAATTGACAAAATAATTAACTAAAAATTTCTCAGCTGTTATTTTTATAAGTTTACCATAGGCAACTAATAATACACACTATCATGACAAGGCCACGAAGGCTTTGACAAGGACTACAATGACGTCACAACTGTCAGCTGAAGCGCTGGAAGAGGCGAACGTACGTCTTATGAGGATGAGCAATCCTATTAGTTTACCGTTCTTGACCCAAGACCAGAATTGCCGACCCTTAGTATATAATAAATATAAATATAATAATAAAGATTTTATCACAAATATGTGAACTCTACAAATATTAGTTTTTGGTAAAATATTGTGTTACTAGGTTAAAATAATTATTTTATTTTGTTATTGCTAATAGAGGGAGTCTCATTCGCCGGAGACAAACAAGGTTTAGAACAAGATATTGAAACTGCATTTCTAATAGGTACACCTAAAATTTGATATATTTTTTAATAAAATAAAGTAAAAAAACACTTATTGATTTTTTTAACCGTTATTCTTATGTGAAAAGCCATCTTGTAATAAAAAAATTATGCCGGTTTTTATTTATTTCACTATCCTCCCTCAACTTATTTTTTTTTACAATACGACTATTTTTTTTAATTTATTAAACAATTATTTTAATTTCCTTAAAATACTGTCGATCGATCGGCACGCCACTGGAAATTAATGGCCTTAAACCTCAAACGTCTAATCTTTCTACACACCTACATTGTTGCCATCGCGCAGATACCCTATTTCCTTTTTTATCCATTCTCTCTCGCACTCGTTGATCTTCGCAAACCAATGTGTGATGAAGTTTTAGAGCGTTTCATGAATGGATCATTGTAGCTCTCGAGTTTAAATATCTTTGGATACAACACTCAGAAAAATTCAAATTTATCAAAATAAAAAGATTATTATTGCACCAACAAACCTAAATTCCATAACTCCTTAGACAGATGGTTCTCCTTTGCTAACCTCACCGCATTGGCGTACGCGGTAGCCTTGGTATAGAAATTTACAGCGTCTTCTGCGTTGCCCAGCGTCTCGTAGAACCTAGCCATATGATAGAAAGCAGCCTTGTCCGAATTGGCCTTGGCTAGTTCGACAGCTTTAGTTTCATCTCCTAGGAAACAATAAACTCGGACTTGGGAGTACACGTCGCCAACGTTGGCATATATTTTCAACGCGGCATTCATGTCACCTTGGGACTCGACGAATTGGCCCCACCATTTTAACATTTCCCTTAAAATAGGGTTAAATTAGTGATAAATTATCAGAAAAAGGAGTTATTACGCTTACTTGTCTTTACTTTTTGACATGTACGATTGTAGCTGTTGAGGATGGTCGCTAAGCATCCTCGGAATGTCATACCGATGTGTACCGGCTTTCTCATATCTAAAATAAAGCTTTATAAAGGTGTTATATAAACTAAGACAAATAATACGATAATAATAAGTAGGCTTTATTCTAATCCATACAAAATTAGGAACCACAAAATGGCAAGTTAAAGCAAAGCTTCCTAAAGCTAGATTTTCATGCATCCGTTGTCCGACGATACGATATTAATTTTATTGGTTAAAAGGTATAGCCGGATTAATATAGGAAATCTGCCCCCGCGGCTTTTTGGGCTCGCACTCAGGGGATCGATTTGGTGTCGAATCAAAATAATTTACCTAATTTTTTAGCTCTTTAACTAAAACGGGTTTCGAAATTTTCAAAAAAAAACTGCTTTTTCAATTTTATTTTTATAGTAAAATTCAAAATTAATTAATGATGATTTTTTTATAACTCTTAGAAGTCTAAGATATGAAAAAATAATATGATCATGATTGTTAAACGAAAAGCCGATTTTTAGTAGAGGAAGGGAAATTAAAATCTTAATTTTTTTAACCTTTGTGAAATATGTCACTCACTAAAAATCGTCAGAAAATGTCTTTTATACTCCTTTACACTCATAGTCTAAGAGCTGGCTACATAAAAAACCTTATCATCGTTACATGGCTAATTTTTTGTGTGATGTATCCATTCGTGTAGCCATTATGAAATAGTCATGTCTGCCAGCGCGATCCCGGGGCTTAAAGCGGGGGCGGCCAATCGAAAGGGTGAAATTTTGAAACTAAAAATATTTAAGATATAGGAGTTATAATTGCGAAAATAGCTTTTATTTATTATTAAGAAACGTGGAAAATTGTTGGCAGACATTTTTCTAGTCGCTAAAATGCCGACAGACAACTCGAAAGAGGCATAAAATTTTAAAAATTATTAAAAAATGAAATTTGAAGAATGAAAAAAATTATGGCATATTTGCATGCTGATTGGTGAAATGTCATATTTATTTATTTTAAAAGCCGTATGCAAAAGGGCAAACAAAAAGATCGTGGCTCAATCAGCTGCAGACAGTTATCAAAAGCGCGATATTACTCTAGCGCTTTATTCAGGGAACGCTGGCCGCCTCATCCATTTAAGTATAGATAAATCATATAATATACGATTATATTATAAATATATTTTTTTTATTCTTTCAATAACGATTTTTTTGTCTGCCCTTTTGCATACGGCTTTTTAAATTAATTAACAATAAACATGACATTCCACCAACCGACATGCATGTATGCGATGATTTTCTTTTATCAAAATTCTATGCTTCTTTCGCGTTGTCTGCCGGCATTTCAGCCACGAGAAAAATGTCTGTCAACAATTTTACACGTTTCCTAATAATAAATAAAAGCTATTTGGCAATTATAACTCGTGTACCTTATAATATTTTTAGTGTCAAAATTTCACCCTTTCGATTGGCCACCCCCGCTTTAAGCCCCGGGATCGCGCTGGCAGACATGACTATTTCACAATGGCTACACAAAAGGATACTTCACACAAAAAATTAGCCATGTAACGATGATAAGGTTTTTTATGTAACCAGCTCTCGCTCTATCAGGAATTTTTTAGAATTTTTTGAAGTAGTGGAACAATATGAAAAAAATTAAAAACTCATTTTTTTCTAAAATCTTCTGCTTTAATTAACTTATATTTTTTTAAGTTAAAAAAGTGCGTAGATAATATTTTTAGGGTTCCGTACCCATAAGGTAAAAACGGGAACCCTATTACTAAGACTTCACTGTCCGTCCGTCCGTCTGTCACAAAGGTCTATCTTATGAACCGTTATAGCTAGACAGTTGAAATTTTTACAGATAATGTATCTATGTTGCCGCTATAAGAACAAATACTAAAAACAGAATTAAATAAATGTTTATAAATAAAAAAGTACTTTCACTAAACATTATCTTTTAAGTAAGAATTTTACATAGAATCTTTCAAGTCCTCGGTGGCCGCGTGGTTAAGGCGTTAGGACTTTACGCTGCTATGACCTTGGAGCCGTAGTAAGGCAGGTTCGAATCCTAGTCAAGACGACTTTTTTTTAATCGTTTTTTTAATTTTTACATATTTATTATTGATTAATACAATTTTTAATAATGTGTTTCTTCATTTTTTTTTAAATTACTTATACACGCATTCAAAATTTCAGCTAAATCGGAAAAAAAGTTTATAATAATATAGTGTCTAATGTATATATAATGAATGGTACGGAACCCTTCGTGCGCGAGTCAGACTCGCACTTGACCAATTTTTTTTTTACTTCAAATTCACAACGATATTGCTTATTACACATTTTCAATCATATTGCTAGGCAATGATTACGTAAAGACCGGGTTTTTGAAAAATTCGCGCCAAGCTGACGCATTATAAAGCCATCTACTGGAATTTTCAGTAACCAGCGCCCCACGTTGGGCGCCACTTATTAAACGTAACAGGGTATGCAGCATGTGCAGCCTTAACCTTACCTCATTGCTGCCTCTTTAAAATCGCCAGCCTTTTCTAGCGATTTAGCCCAACAATATTCGGTATTCCTTAAATTAATCCTGTCTTTGGTTTTGGCTAAAGTATGTGCGTCTTCCATTTTATTTCTGCAACGAAACAGTTTATTAAGCAGATCGTATCGTCCGCATTTGGAATACAATTGTTCAGCCTCGTCCTAAAAAAATGTAAACATCTAAGGGTGGCAGTAACGACATCCCGTCATCCTGCTGATAAAATGGAACCGCTGTTTTTTTTTATAAAAATTGCCTGCTAAACAAAACTGTCGTTGGGCCTACAGTGAAAAGATTATCAGTAAATTTACAAAAAAAAATGGTTATGCTGAAGTATCTTTAATCAGCGACTTTATAGAAATTTAATATTTTTGCATACTTAGTTTTGCACAAAATAGCGTAATTTTACAAAAATGTTTACAGACATTTAATGGATATTACCAAACGATATTGTCTTCAAATATAGCTTTACGTATTTACAAATGAAACTTAAATCATAAATAATATTTTGAAGCAAAATTCCATGTTTTTTCTTTTCAACTAAACACAGCGCTATAATTGATAAAACCGCACGTAAAACTTCCAGTATTGTGTAGACGAGACATAACAGATAATTTTCTTTAAAGATCATAATTTTCTAAATAAATTAACTCAATTTAGCAATATTTTTATCATCAGGAATAGACAACTTGATAATATATTTACCAGCAATCCCAAATGTATGGCTAACACAGCAACTTTGGCTTCTTGAGGCAACGTATTGTCATTTATCGCTAATCTTAGAGCCCTAGCCGCTTTAGCGTCACCCATATGACCCAAACAAACGCTAGCCACGTCCAAACGTCTAGTTTTAACGCACATCCTTGCCAAACTGGCCCAAACCCCTTGACTTTGCACTAATTTGATTGATTTGAAAGCAGCATCCATATTACCTAAACATGATAATTTCAGAGAAATAAATAAACACAGCGACATAAAAAATAAGTTAAGAAAATAAGTAACAGACAAATTTTGCTAGGCAGCTCTACAAGATGTTTCAAAATCGTCAGAAAAAGTTATAAATTTACTCAATACTAAGTTAACTGAAAACATAACGTTTCTTGCAGCATGACGCAAGTATCAGACAGTCTGTAATTACACTTAATGTACTGGTTAATTGCACCTTCATAGGTAGCAACCACAAGGGTATCACAGTGATGTGGACATATAAATAAATAACAATATATATGCGCAAGCGCATACTACGATGTTATTAAGACACGTAAGAGAAGTATGAACGACATTTCCTTAAGTTCTTTTAGGTTAATTTCATGGGGTTAATGTTAAAAGTAAGGTTACGAGTAATACTCGAAGTATGAACCAACCATAGTTCATATTATAATAACAACTCAAAATTGAAAAAAAATATATCAGTTTTTGGATTTCAAGATATACTTTAGGCATTCTAAAATTTTTACAGTGTGTTTATTAGATAATATTAAAAAATATTTGTTAATTGCCAAACGAATTCAACGGTTTTTAATACTTGCCTGACGCGAATAAAGATTTAAAATGAGCGCAACAAAAAAGTCTTATGAGTATCTATAAGCGCGAGAAAGATAGTTTATTGAGACTCGTCGGCAGCAGACGCGGCTGACGTAACAATATTTTACACTGTTTATTTTTTACTTTTACACTGTTAATATGCTATCATCTGTTTCATCAAAGTCGAGTTTAAAAAAAAAACAATATTTTCGTCATAATAACTAGTAGTGGGAACTATCGAATGAATACTATCAAAACATTCGATAGTTGCAATTCATTCGAATAATTCGATAGCTAGTAAGAAAACATTCGTTGAAAACTATTCGAATAAAAATTATCGAATAGATGCGTCATCTGCCTTGAAATATTGTATTCTAGTAATTCAGCCGCAAAAACCATTCATTTATAAAATTCATTCATTTATGAAATTCATTTATTCGTCAGGATCGATTATAATAAAATATTAACTGGATTTTAGTTGTCGCCCGGCGACGTAGGTTTCTTTCCGAGAAACCCGACAGCAGTCGGTGGCAATGCTATGAAAGAAGCCGGCATCTTTGATTTTTTGCGGAGTCATAAAGATAAGGACACATTATTTTTTTTATTGAGGTGCTAGTATTTACACAGAAAATACATTATGAAGGGCGCTGTTGCCATATATTGGTATTAGTTGATATTAGCAAAGAATATTATTGTTTGTCTTTAGTTAGTTAGGGATAGTATGTCTATATATTTTGCATTTTTTTTATTAATATTCTGTTGTTACACTGCAATAATACTTGTTATTTTGGATGTAGGAAAATGATTTTTAATGTTTTTAAGCAAAGACTGGTTTAATAAAAAATAATAACAGTAATAATTTGTTATACCTATTAACAACAAAATTTAAAATAATTTCATATAAACATTTTTTTACGTAGTAGCAAAATATAAACAACAAATTAGATGTCAAAATTATTTATATTCTTCTTATCACGCCCTCTCCTGCCGAAGGTTGGCGATCCATATGGCAATTGTGGCTCTGGAAACTGCAGCCCGGAAGATTTCCGCAGATTAGCGTTCAAACCATCTCCTCAAATCTTTTAGCCATGAGTTCTGGCGTCTTCCTACTGATCTTTTCCCTTGCACTTTGCCCTCTATTATGAGGCGCAGTATTTCGTATCTACCACCTCTCATCACATGACCCAGGTATTGCATTTTTCTTTCCTTGATGGTGTTCAGTATCTCTTTTTGTTTCTGCATGCGCTGGAGTACTTCATTGTTGGTGATCCTTTGTACCCATGAGATTCGCAGCATCCGTCTGTATATATACATTTCGAAGGCTTCTATTCTCTTCTCGGTCTGTGAATCAGTGTCCAGCTCTCACATCCATAGAGTAACACAGAGAAGACGTAGCATCTGGCCATTCGAGTTCTGAGATCCGCACTGAGGTCTCTTCTTGTAAAAAATGATTTCATTCTCACGAAGATTTTTCTCGCTTGCTCAATTCTTGAAAATATTTCTCTTTTCGGGTCGCACTGACTGTTGATGTTAGCTCCTCTTTATATTAGATCCTATTTAAAATAATATAGTCTTTAAATTTTTTTGGCAACGTTGGTTTATTAAATAATAATAATTACAGAACTAATTTGTTATATTAACAATAAACTTTAAAATCATGAAATATAAACATTTATTAATTTTCTAAGCATGCAGTGTAATGGAAGGAAAATATAAATAAAAAATTAGAAGTCAAAATTATTTATATTAGGTACTTTATATTACTATATAAAAATAATATCTACTTTTACTGGCATTTACTTTAAAAAATAAATGAAATATTTCTTCGCAAAAAACTACATGTAAGAGAATTAGCATAAACAAAATACAAACATCGTTAACTTTTTTTTTAAATTAGCACGTGTAAAACTTTCAATTTAATTTTCTCATCCCATGGTTTGAGTTCGATAACCATTTACTTAACCACATTACTTAAATATGATTATTAGGTAAGTTCAACTAATTCATATTATTAAAACATCTAAAATACAAATATGTATTTTTAAAATTAATTCTATAAATATTCTAAATAAGTTCATCTCATCTCTCTTAAAAATTGCTACTTGTCAAAATTTCCCATTAAAAAATAGACCATATACCATATGAAATAAAATAATTGAAAGATCGGGCTACGGAAAATCACACAAATTTTCTGAAAAATTTTGACCACCTGCACATAATCGTCAATTAAAAAAACTACTATTTTAGTATTTTAAATATTTTAATAAACGCAAAAATAGCACAGTATTTGTAAGGCGAAGTTATAAAAATTTGGAAGAACTAATAATGCACTCACGCACACAAAAATCAAACAAATACTAAATTTCATTTATCAAAAGCATTCGATAGTCGTGGCTCAACGATAACCATTTAGTCGCACGGCGAGGTTGTCACATATGTTTTAGTATAGAAATGAATGAATGATTTTATTCGAATAAAACCATTCGATAGTTGAAATCATTCATTCAGTAACCATTCGATAGTCTAATTCATTCGACAGTTCCCATTGCTACAAACTACACAACTTAAATATTGTTTTTTTATCCATTGTAATTTATTAGTAGGTACATATCCTTAAAATTAATAGTTACTAAAATATTTATTTGCAGTAATTATTCTAAACTATTTACACTATGCACATCAATATTTAGTTTATAAATACATATATACCGTATGATCGAGAAAAAACGGCGTCAGCGATGGCTATGGAATGAAGATCGCTGTCATTTTATATGTAAATTTATATGGGAAATGTCATTGATGTTCATTTCCCAGCCAACTGGACGCCGTTTTTTTTCGATCATACGGTATTTATACATGGTAACTTAATTGCAGCAATCTCTGAATTAAAAGCCTGCAAATAATTGAAATGAAACCGAAAAAAAAATGTGTTTATAAAAATTTTAAGTACTCCAAAATACTGTTACGTCAGCCGCGTCTCCTGCCGACGAGTCTCAGTAAACTCTCTTTCTCGCGCTTATAGATACTCATAAGACTTTCTTATCGCGCTCATTTAAAATCTTTATTGGCGTCAGGCAAGTATTAAAACCCGTTGAATTCGTCTGGCAATTAACACATATTTTTTAATATTATCTTATAAACACGCTATAAAAAATTTAGAATGCCTAAAGTATATTTGGCATACTTATTTCTGAGTTAAATAGATGCTAAAATAATAGCATAAACAAATTTTAAGTTGCCTAAAGGGTGTTTTTTGAATTTTTTTTTGCAAATATCATGGGTTGCGCAGTAGCGAAATACCCGCAACCCCTCTGCCCGACTTAGGATTCTGGGTTCATCAGTTAATAAACTATACATTTTTAGTTATTCTAGCTTGCCTAAAATATGTTCTCTAAATATGTCGTCAGCTTTTAAGCTATTACATTTTGCTCGGACTTGTATATGTTAGGTCAAAACAAATCAATCAAAGTGCTAATTTGTTTACTAATGAATCTACTAAATCGGTAAAAATATTAATGAAGAAATTTCATATTACCCAAGCTCAAATTATAGCTGAAATCGATAACTGCCTCTTTAGTGTTCTTGTCGCACTCTTCCAGCCCATTAAAATCGCTCATCACATCTCTTACAATACTCAATTTCTGTAAAGTAACGATATAGGGTATAGAAACACCCAATAATCTAGTATCGGGTTCCACGGATTTCAAGTCGTGGATTTGTATACCGTTTTCTGGCAGAACAAACATGGTGACGATAACCTGATCTTCGTCCTTTAAAGTTTTAGATTCACCTAGATATATAATTAATAAAAATTAAAAAATACAAATAAGAAAATTCAATTCATGAATATATAAATAATATTCCTTAGTCTTTTTATTCAAAGGTCCACCCATTACCATCGAGAAAGGAAGGCCCGACGGCTTATGTGTGACGTCATGGAAAGAAGGCGATGAGTTGGTTGGTTGGTTGTAGAGATGGGCAAAGATTGAACGAGTCGTTCATCTGAACGAGTATTAAAAATGAATCGTGTGATTCGATTCATTGCTTACATACGGTTCGTTCAATTGAATCGTGGCCAGCACGGATCCATAAGATTTTAACTATGAGCCGTAAAAAAGAATCGTGAGAATTGAATCGGATCACAATGCGATCGTTGGTTCAAAGAGTCGTGGAGATTGATTCATTGCTTAAAATACGGTTCGGTCAATTGAATCGTGGCCAGGAAAGAGTTGAACGATGAGCCGTAAAAAAGAATCGTGAGAATTGAATCGGATCACAATGCGATCGTTGGTTCAAAGAGTCGTGGAGATTGATTCATTGCTTAAAATACGGTTCGGTCAATTGAATCGTGGCCAGGAAAGAGTTGAACGATGAGCCGTAAAAAAGAATCGTGAGAATTGAATCGGATCACAATGCGATCGTTGGTTCAAAGAGTCGTGGAGATTGATTCATTGCTTAAAATACGGTTCGGTCAATTGAATCGTGGCCAGGAAAGAGTTGAACGATGAGCCGTAAAAAAGAATCGTGAGAATTGAATCGGATCACAATGCGATCGTTGGTTCAAAGAGTCGTGGAGATTGATTCATTGCTTAAAATACGGTTCAGTCAATTGAATCGTGGCCAGGAAAGAGTTGAACGATGAGCCGTAAAAAAGAATCGTGAGAATTGAATCGGATCACAATGCGATCGTTGGTTCAAAGAGTCGTGGAGATTGATTCATTGCTTAAAATACGGTTCGGTCAATTGAATCGTGGCCAGGAAAGAGTTGAACGATGAGCCGTAAAAAAGAATCGTGAGAATTGAATCGGATCACAATGTGATCGTTTGTTTCTACGGCGTGGCGCGGCGGTGATATAAGCATAGAGTCAGGCACCAATATTTACACTTGAACAAAAGCCCTAAACAAACATCATGGGTATAAAATGCAAACGATAAGAAAGTTATTTACAAGAAAAAACTTATTTATACTGTGCTTAGTATGGGCACAGATTATACAGATTATAATCTTTGTTTTTTCTTTATTGTTTTTCGTGGTTCCAATTTTCGGAATCGGGCACTAGTTAGGTGACTAGTTTGCGCACATAGCCCGCCCACTTATGGCCTCTAAAATTGTGCACAGCGCCTGACCGGCACAGTTATTAGAGAGATATCGGAAAACCGAATAGCGTCATCCAGTATTTACGCGTACTTTATCATGGTTACGATATGCGCGAGTCAATTTTTAACACAACACCCGCTAATAACGTTACCGCCTGACGTAATTCGTGGATCAATTACACCAAGCGCTATTTCTAAATAACGTTTAAAAATTGCTTAAATAGGCATGTGCGGGTATTTGACAACCGGTGCCAGCCGGCGAGATCTTTTATTTTAGGTTATGTTTGAATTGTTTTGAATTATTGCTTTAGTTTTATTAGGTAATTTGATATTTAAGTAGCTGGGATTAGCTTTAATTAAATAAATGTGGCTCAAAATATGGATTCCACCTCTTCCAATACTAAAGAACCTATAAAGAGTCTTAGGTTTACAGCAGATGACGACTTAGCCCTTCTAAGAGAATTTGTTGCTTGTTGCCCTAAACCCACTGGCAGACGTTGAACAATAAAGCACTGGAAATAAGCACTTTAGCCCTTTAGTTTTAAAATACCTAGTAAACAAAACAATTTCAAAGTTTTAAATTCAAAGTTAGGTTAAGTTTAAATAGCGGACGCGCCGCGATCAGAATTCTTTCCGGTCCGATAACGCCGATAACTATAAATGAAGAGAGTTAATACCACCTCACGTAAAGGAAATAACACCTGACCTTATTAACGTCCATGCACGCTATTCGGTTTAGCGATATCTCTCTATTACGCTGTTTATTGTTATTTTACGCGAGTTTATTTTTGCGCACAGGAAATTTGACTCGTTTGCACATCGTCATAAAAAACAATTTTCGTACCACGAATTAGGGACAAGATTTTTATCTGTATACTTATAGGATACCTAATCTGTGGTACGGGAGTATCTGCAAGGTATTTAATTTTCACGATAATATTTTTGTTAAAATAATATTACCGACTATAAACCATTAAATGTCGGAATAAAAGACTAAATCGTGTTTTTCTGCAACTCCAAATAAATATTGTTGGTTTCTGCTCAATATGACAAAAAAACGGCGTCAGCAATGGTTATAAAATGAAGATCGCTGTCATTTTATATGTAAAATTATATGGGGAATGCATCAATGTTCATTTCCAAGCCAACTGGAGACCATTTTTTTCAATCATGCGGTATTTATCTGCGGTATTTAGTGTATTATATACTAATTTATTATGATTACTATTAAAAGGAATTAAAATATGGCTCTAAAAATATTATATTGGTATTAAGAAGTCTTTAATAAATAGTAAATAGTATATATAAATTTGTTTGATAATTTAATATTATTAGTAAAATAATCAATCCAATTACGCCGCGCCAGTGTCATAAAGTGTTAAAAAACAAATGAAAGAACTGTATATTTCTTTTTCTGGTCCTTTAAGTAATTGTCCGACCAAATTATCGCCGGTAGTGCCAGTTACGATTCTTGTTTTTATGAAACGTAAATTATGCATGGGATTCGTTGAAAAAGACAAATGAACGAATCGTAATAGTCGATTCAATATGAGAAATTGAATCGTGTGATTCGATTCATTAAAAAGAATCGTAATGCCCATCACTAGTTGGTTGGCAACTTTATAGGTACACTTAAGGCTGTTTTACAGCTGGCAATTTTACTTACATGCTAGAAAAGTTGTTGTCATTTTACTTGCCGCAATTAAGTTGCTGCAACTTTGCTTGCATGCAAGTAAAATTGCCAACTGTAAAATGTCCTTCAGGATATAAATTTTGAGTTTATTAAAATTTCCACTTGAAAACATACTTCTTTTTCTTGTAGACTGATTCTTTTTAGTGCCAGGAACTTTAATTTTCTTCGCGTTACACACAAGCAACCTGGAGTCATCTTCGCACCAATGAAGTGACAAGGGAATTCGGTTTTTACAAACTTCATCGAAATCGGTAGACGAATCGTTGTCCTCTTTCTTCGCGTCTTTTTCCCCTTCAGTTTCAAAATATTTATCCATTGTCGATTTTTCAAGATCTTCGTATTTTCGAAAATCGTAGAATATCAAATCGTCCCTTTCGATGTCCCATATGTACAGCTTTCCGTCCGGTACTAGGTTGGCTGCGGCGAGAGTCATGGCTACTTTGTTGCCTACAAAATTAAAAAAAAAACTTATATTTTAGTACCAGCCAAGTAAGTATACCGGGTGCGTCCCAAAAGTGGCTCACCCCTATAACTTTTTTATTTTTTCGGATAAAAAAACGAGATTTGGTATGTTAGTATATGACATAAATTAGGTTTGATTGACGTATTTAATTGTTTTTGGTCAGTTCCTGGTTCACCAGAAATGACTACAACTTTTGACTTTTAAATGACACCCTCAATATTTTTTTACTTTATTCAATAGAAAATAACACTCTGAATAGAATGACATATCATATGTGGAGTTGGCTAGAAAGTGTTTAGTGTGTGAAAGTTCTAATATAAAGGCCCCCGAATTATCTTTTCATAGGCAAGTAAAGTATTCAGTTCTTTTATTTATATTAAGCCACATGCATACTTTCTGGTTAGATTTCCTAAGAATATTGATATTACACACCTTAAAAATTAGTTTTGACATTAATGTATCGCCAATTGCACCGCGATATTTAAGGTCTTCTTAGCTTAAGTCGAGTTATAACTGTGACTTTTTCTTTAAAATCGTAATTACCATGAAACTAAGAGAATAAAGAGTGTCCCTATTCATTTATTTATGTTTTTATAGGTATTGCAACTGCAGCGACTATGAAAAAAGCTGTGTGGTTTTCATAGAAAATAAGGGCACCTGTAATTCATTTGAGAATGTTATAAATCGCTAAAAGAGGTTTCAAATCTCTTCGATTTCAATTAATATTAAATAAATTTTATTAAAAATTGAACTAAAATTGTTAGTATTAAAAACAATTCAAATTCAAAAATTGTATCAATCAAATTCCCTCATTTAAGGTGAATATTAAAGTAAATATAAATACAGCTCATTCTAAGCTCTACTTATCTTTAAGAAAAATTTAAATCATTGGTGCAATTGGGCCTTAATGCCATTTCGAATGAATAATAGTATTAATAATGTACATTATAATAATAATAAATTTTATATCATAGTGTGTAATAAAACTACTAAAACAATTTTAAATTGGTATTATATTAACAAGTTTTATTTTTTTAATCCAAAGAAAAATAAAAGTAACAAATTTCTCAATCAAAATATTTGTGGTCCTGAAAAGGACCTTTGTTTTCCCATGTTCGTCAAGGTAGGTAATGGGTAAACGGTAAAAAAACAGGATAATGAAATTTAAAAAATTACAAAAATTGTTCAAAAATGCCTCCCTCTTGCATTAAACAATAATCCAAACGATCATAAAATCCCCTCCTCACATTGGATAACATGTCAGGGGTGACAGTGTCAAAGGCATTAAATATTTTCTGCCTTAACTGCTCCAAGTTTTGAATTTCTTCATGGCCGTAAATTTTAGATTTTATGTACCCCCATAAAACATAGATAAATGAAACAAATTTAGATTGGAAAGTGCCCATAAGGACAATGTAAATACTATTTGGCGCTATTCTTGCAACGGTCGCAACACAAAACTCTTGAAAATTTCGGAGCGGTTCGGCTTTTTCCGGAATTATATCGCCAAATATTCTTTATTCAAATTTATTATTATTTTCGTTTAATTTTATAAATAAAAGACAGTGTGTTGCATACAAGAAACAAGGACGCATGTATGAAATACCTATGAAACATTGGAAACCGACGTTATGCCACGATCCACGATGGTTTTTGCAGTTCACAGTTCACAGCACAGCTTTTTAAGTTTTTAATGCCACTTTTCCACAATTATCACCGGTTGGAGTAAATAGAACTTGAATTAAACTCACAAGATAGCAATTATTACTTTGAAAATGGACGCTATAAACACTTTTCGGAATTTCGTTAATGAGAGCGGTTTAGATTTTGAAAGATTATTATGATTTTTGAAGATTCTGACTTTGACAAGAGAAAATTATTTCTGTTTTTGTTTGCCGTTGTTCTTAGCGACCGCTGTAGCAGCGCCAGATCGCGTATAACGGTCGCGACCCAAAATAATTTCGCGACCTAAAATTTTTACGGGCTTTCCAATCTAAACTTGTTGCATTTATCTATGCCATAAAAAGAAATCATTCACCGAGAGGTCAGGTGAAATTAAACGTCAGTCTAAACATGGTCTAAACAAAATTGTCATTTTTGAAAACTTGTCAAAATTTGGACACACGCTAAATGGACTTGATTTTCCTATGTCTCGAAGTCTGTGGACTTTTCTGTATGACCTAGGGATGACATGGGGATGACACTTACCTTTTGAGTTCGTCTTGGCTTGAATTATTTCTCCGAAATCTTCCACCATGTCATACAAATTCTTCACCCTAGTCAGTAACTTCGCCTGACTTTCAGATAGATCATATATTTTCAAAAATCCTTCCATTGTGAAAATGGTAAGGTAATGATGGGTAACGTCCATACCTATAGCTTCACCTTCATTCAGATTTGACGTTATTTGCGAAATAATATGCCCAGTCGAATTATACAGCGTTACGTTCTGGGAGTTGATGGCTATTATAGTTTTTTGGTGAATAATGATACCTTCGTTTTCGCAAGGAAATGAAGTGTTGTATGTCACAGTAAATTCGCAGAAGTTCTCGTCTGAAAGAAATCAATAAAGAATTAATTTAATTTTTTATATATAATACAGGGTGTTTCAAAAAACATGTGCCATCTCTCGTAGGGAGATTCCTCAAGTAAAAATAAGATTAATTTTTCATATCAACATAGGTCCGATTCTGCTTTGTTTCGTAGCTACGGAGTGGTAAAGTCTTAATATTTTTTCGATTTATTATATTTTTTTTCCAAGTAGTTTTAGCGTTTCGAACAAAATTTTGAGGGTAAAAGTTACAATAAATGCGACTTATTTTAAAGCTAAAAATGTGTCGACATATTCACCAGGGACGTGCGTATGAGTTTATAACTGAAATATTTTTCTAAAAAAAGCATGTACGCCACTGACTTTTTTTCCTCTTGTTTGCGAAATAGTGTAAGTAGTTTAATTCCGATTAAAAGTTGTCTCTTGATATTTTTTCGATTTCGGCCTCCTTGATGAGATAAACGCAATTTTATTAATTTGTGTGCCTTGATCCAATAAGTCTAATAGAAACCTTTTAAAAAATTTAATATCATTAACTTGCGAAAGGTTTAAATAAGTACTCATTGATTCCTCATCAAAAAATATGAAAAAAAGTTCCTATAAACATGGGTATGGAAATGTATAGTTTTAGAGTTACAGGATGTTACAACTTTTTAAAATTAGTTTTTTTCTAATTATCTTAAATACCATAATTTTTTTATTTGAAATTGCTGTAGGTGGGACTAATAGTAATAATAACTAATGGTAATAATATTTAATAATAAATTAAGTAAAAAATATAATTTATTAATATTATTTTTATTTTCATTTTATATAAAATTGTGTTTATTTCATCAAGGAGGCCAAATTAGACAAAATATCAAGAGATAACTTTTAACTGGCATTAAACGGCCTACACAATTTTGATATTAAAAGAAAAAAGTCAGTAGCGCAAATGTTCTTTTTTAAATATTCTAGTGAGAACCCATATGCACGTCCCTGAAGAATTTATCGACACTATTTTAGCATTAAAATATGTAGCACTTATAGTAAATTTTACCATCAAAATTTCATTCAAATCACCCTGTAGCTACGAAACAAAGCAAAATCGGACCTATGTATGTTGATATGAAAAGGAATCTCTCCACGAGAAATGGCACATGTTTTTTGAAACACCCTGTAAACAAGTACTACATTGATTTTGTGCTCTTATATGGAATGGAAACCCTGAAAGTAACTACAAACAGGAAAATATATGGCGTCAGCAATGGCTATGAAATAGAGATCACTGTCATTTTATATGTAAATTTATATGGCAAATGTCATCGATGTTCATTTCATAGCCATCGCTGACGCCGTTTTTTTATCACACGGTATAACCAGTACAAAAATGTAACCTAAATTTTGATAGATGCTTTGAGAATTCTAGACTTCTCATATCTTAATAATGTCTGTCCAACGAGCCAAGAAAGAGTTCGACAGACGATATTCAAAAAAGCGACAGAAAATACAATATTCCCGTGAATTAAAACGACAGACACAACTGTCACTGTCCGCGATCCTACCGTTGGACAGATTATAGAAAGAATATATCTATAAAATTCTTAGGGCTTGTTGTAGACAATTCTCTAAAATGGGACATGCATATCGACGCTTTGTCGAAAAAATTAAGCTCTGCCTGTTTTGCATTAAGATCTGTTTCTAAGGAGCTTAACTTGTCAGTGGCTAGAACTGTTTATTATGCACTTTTTGAGTCGCACCTCAGGTATGCCCTTCCATTCTGGGGTACGTGTTGTGCGACTCAATTTGACCGCATTTTCAAGCTTCAGAAGAGAGCTGTACGATATTCACGACTAAACAGCAGAACTTATTGCCAGGATTTTTTTAAAAAAATAAAAATATTAACTCTTCCTTCCTTATTTATATTTGAATCCGTTTGCCTAATACGTAAGCATGTATCAGCTTCTCAAGAAAGGCCATCTCACACTTATCCACTCAGGAACGCGGAGCAAGATCTTTATCTACCTACCCTACGCTCAGAGTTAGTTAAAAGTTCAATATTATACAACTCGAAAAAAATGCACAAACACCTGCCATTTGAAATCAAATCCATAACATCATTTTCTTCATTTCGCAAAGCATTGAAATCTTATTTACTAAACAAGGCTTTCTACGCCGTAAATTACTTATATTTTGATAATCGAATTTGATCTTGTAAATACTGGTCTAATGTTTGCTATTACTATATTTACCAATGACATCGAAATAAATTTATCTAGAGGTCATTGATATTTACTATAAACTTACTAAATGTTATTGAATCTTATTTTTATTTTTTTATTTTTTGACATTGTAAAATTTATAAATGTTTATTTTAAACAATAAGACTGACAATGTTATATGTATAATGTATTGTATTCTCTTTTTTTTTGTTTGTTTGTTTGTTTGTTTACTTTACCTTTGTCTACAAACTGTAAAATTTTTTGACAATAAAGGCATTTATTTATTTATTTATACTTATTTACATACCATCTACTGATTGTTCAGATTTCCATACAATATTATACACATACACAGTTCGTCCATTAGAAAATCCAATAAAAGACTCAGATATCGCCATATCGCTCACTTGAAACTCCAACTCCAACAAATGGTTACTCTTTCCAGTTTCTATCCAGATTTCGTTGGCCGTTTTTTGCGTGGCCCATATCTTCTCGCAAAAAGTACTGCAAACGTTTTGCTCCTTCATTATGTAGATGTACGTCACGCAGTTCACGCTCAAAATGGGCAGTCTGGTGATCATCGTTCCCCAACCTAGTTGCTTGATGGTACCGCTTATGGTGTTGATGTTGTTCAGTTCCCAGGCATCTTCTAGGCTTTCTGCCTCTGTGGTTGGATTTTTTACCCAAAAGTATATTCTACCTTTAAAATAATAATAATAATTATGTTTATATATTCGTAATATCATAAATAATATTAACGAGGCCCTTGATTCTAAGTTTTTCGATCATCGAAATCGACCTTAATATAGAAATTGCGACGATAATATCGTTACGGATTCCGTGGATCCACTAATTTAAACTCATGATAAAATACTTAACAGATTTATTTTCTATACCGGGTGCGTCTGAAAAGTGGCTCACCCCTATAACTTTTTTAGATAAAACAACGATATTTGACATAAATTGGGATTGATTGACGTATTCAATTGTTATCGGTCACTTCCGGTTTCACCGGAAATGACTACAACTTTTGATTTTTAAATGGCACCCTCGGTATTTTTTACTTTATTCGATTGAAAATGACACTCTGAATCGAATGACATATCATATGTCAACTTTTGATATTTTGGCATATGGTTTATTTGAAATTGTAACATGCGGTTTATAACGACAATTTGACTCAAAATATCAAGTGTATGGTATCAAATTATTCGTAAAAAAATGCTTTTCCCAAAAATGCTAATGAGCTACCCTCGTGCCATTTGAAAAAAATGAGATATGATTAAAAATACGATTTGGGCATCTTTTAACCAGCCAGGACAAGACACTAAAAACATTAGACGATCAAATCTATTTTTCCAAGGCTTCTTGATTAAAAATTAGTGTTTTAACAGCCATGGCACTCTAGATTGAAATTTAAAATAGAGTTTGTTTTAGAGTGACTATGTCAAAAGTTGACATATGATATGTCATTCGATTCAGAGTGTCATTTTCAATCGAATAAAGTAAAAAAATACCAAGGGTGCCATTTAAAAATCAAAAGTTGTAGTTATTTCCGGTGAAACCGGAAGTGACCGAAAACAAATGAATACGTCAATCAATCCCAATTTATGTCATATAATAACATACCGAATCGCGTTGTTTTATCTGAAAAAATAAAAAAGTTATAGGGGTGAGCCACTTTTGAGACGCACCCGGTATACACACAATTTATACTGATTACAACACACAATTAACTATTTAAAAAAATCCTTCGCCAAATTGTCACGATTCACAATTTAAACCAACCGTATTTTCAAACTTAACTGGCTCAACTGCCGAGCGCGGGCTTTTTATATATCCTAGCGGCTGTTTCTGGAACGTTCGACAATTATCTGTAATTTTCGATGACCTTCTGCCATCTACCAGTAAATTCTGCTGCCTGGTTAGAACTCGCTTTTTTACTTGGCTAAGAGATGGCGCCTCAATCAATGTCGTCAACCAGCAATACACGTTGCGGTTATTCGCTTCTACAACAGATGTCGCCACACACACCTTGACAATATCTATACAGGGTCAGCAACGCCTGGCTTTGGGTGTCGATTTTCCTGTGTATAAAGAGTATAGTCAGTGAAACGAATAACTTTGAATTTGACAGTTCTCGCGGGCTTTTCTAGTGTTAATTTTATTAGGTTAGCACTTTGAATAAGAAGACTAAGGAAGGAGCATAATGCTATCCATGTATTCATGCATGGTGGGCGGAAAAAGCACTCTAGGGTGGGGATCCTTGACAGTTCTGTTTGACGATTCATTTGACACATTTGAATTTGATTTGAAATTTTGTGGATTTGTCAGTCTTTACGGAGCTTATTTTATGTTATTTATTATTTATTCTACTACTGATAGTTGTATAAAGGTAGTAAATCTAGATGGAAATTGTGGCAGCACTTAAATTAACAGTGACACTATCGCGATTTATCGAAAAAGACTCTCAAATAGTTGGTTGTGTAGCGTGCGGTAGATCTCGGCAAAAATTGAGTGAAATAATGGAACAACTTTTCGCTAGTAAGTGACTATATAATATACATACGTGTAGTAAACCGATCATTTATGAAATTCACTTAAATTAACTAAATTATATATTTTTCTTGCATTTTAGCTTTTATTTATTACTTGTCAAAGATTAGATGTCAAAGAATTTAGATACGTTAATTTGACTTACCTGCTTCAGTAGCGTATCGGATGTTTGTGGTAATAAATACTTATTATAACTTATCTATTTTTATTAGAATTATATATTTTTATAACAATTTTAATAACTACCAACATTTATTCACAACGTAAAATAAAACAACAAATTATTGAGTCTACCCCACGTCTACCCTACATCATAGTTTTACATTTTTTAAATAAAATTAGAACGACACTGATAAACCGGAATTTAAAGTCGGCCATATTTGAGGCCCATCGCGGTGTACCTAAGATTTTTGATATGCTTCTTCCATAGTCTTCTTATTCAAAGGGTTAGCAACTTGCGGCCATGAATTTTTCTTTGTTGTCTGATATTTAGAAATGTCAAAAGCTGATGACATTTTAATTTTGACAATTATGACATTTCGTGTCGATTTTTGCAAGAAGAGGAAGAACTGTCACTTGTTTTATTATTTTCCTTTTCTATTTCACGAAAGTAAAAAGAGTTACCTATCTGATTCGTTCAGGCACTCAATTTAAAGAATATCAGTAACTTTTTTGACAGAGGGATTTTATATATGCCATGTTGGTAAAAAATAACGGTCAAAATTCAAAGTTATTCATTTTATAGACTATACCGTGTGCTCAGTACAATAAGATACCGAAAATAAACATGTTGACTAGATAGTTATTTGACTGAAATGATAAATTTGGGATTTTTTTTAAATTAATATTTTTTTCTAGAAAAAATTATGATAAAACAGTTTCGGTTGAACCTTTGATACAAAAAAAATCCAGATTTATTATTTCAGATTACACACGTTCAGTGCATAAAGTCAAAGTATTTTGGTGTATTATGGAGAATTAGTGTTTTATTTTGATGTTGTAACACCAAATGTTCCAACCTCCAACTGTAATAATAGTGTTTCTACAGCGAAAAAAAAAGGTGAAATGTTTACATCAATTATCTATGTTATTCTAATCTATTTTCATAATTTCGACAGTTGAAAATCTTTAGAATCAGGCTCCTGAACTGGTACATACCTATGTTAGTCCCTGCACATAGAGTTTGATTCAGTCTACAGTAAGCCACACAAGTGAAAACTTCGCTCACAGACGACGGTTTTTCATCGCTTATATACATTTTCATTGTAGTTGGTAGAACGTAATTGTCGTTTGTGTCTAGATCCCAAATGCGCACAGTAAGATCACCTAAACAGTATAATTTTATGCTTAAACATTAATTCAGAGATCTCAGAATATTTGAAACGCTTAAAAAACATATACAGGGTGGCGCACCTCATTCGCCTCGGTTGATTATACGAAAACAGACGTAGAAAGACGTAGAATTTTTTTTTAATGAGTAGGTATATGTAGAGAGGCAATGTGCATAATTTGAAATTATTTTTAAATGTAGAGGGTGTGTCAGAACCAAGATCCATACCAAAGTTATATTTTTTTCTTATGGAACACTTGGTATTTAATTTCATTTTTGGATTCTTGGGCATAAAATAAGGCATTTATTATAAGGGTTTAATATGTTAAAATGCTTTAGATTTTGAGATATTTAAATATGCCATGCTATAATAAAAAAAATTGTCATTACCCTGTACATTACTTTTCAGAGTTAATTCTTGTGCTCACTTTGAAGCCAGAGAAATAAACTTTACTAAAATAATCTATTGCTTCCTTAAATGTATACAGGGGTAACAAAAATTGTTGATCTATTTCAAATATTTAAAAAGTAAGTTTTTCAAAGGAATGCTTGCCAAGAAAATTCCTATTTGGATATCTTTGAGCATAAACCCTTCAGGCCAACAACCAATTGTCAAAATAAAATCACTAGTAACATATCCATTCCTTCCGCCAGCAGATACTGCTTCATTTTTTTTGATAAAATAATGATTACTTACTTATTATTTTTAAACTATTGTAGGTAAATTTAAGTAAACTGTTATAAATCTAAATAATAATGCTCATAAACTAAGGTCGATTTTGAAAATAGTTACTAACTGTCACTAGAAAATTGCCATGGCGACACCAGCCATCTTGATTGCCATTTCATGGCTTTTTATTCAAAATCTGAGCCAGATAGATATAGGAGACCCTAATATAGTTTGAAAGACCATTTAAATCTGCTTCGACTTGTCTAAAAAAATACATAGTGTTGCATTTGAAATAACGAAGTTTTTATGTAAAATAAATATCTAAAATAGACCAGTAAATTTTAATACCCCTGTATACATTCAAGAAAGCAATCAAATTTTTTAGTAAAGTTTATTTCTCTGGCTTGAAAGTCAGCACAAGAATTACCTCTGAAAAATAATGTACAGTGTGTTGAAAAACTTTTTTATTATAGCATGCATATTTAAATATCTTTAAATATCTCAAAAATCAAAGCATTTAAACATATTAAACCCTTATAAGAAATGCCTTATTTTTTACCCAAGAATCCAAAAATGAAATAAAATACCGGGTATTCCATAAGAAAAAATATAACTTTGGTATGGATCTTAGTTCTGACACACCCTGTACATTTCAAAATAATTTTAAATTATGCACATTGCCATCCCACATATACCCATAAAATATTTTGTTTCTACATATTTTCGTTTTCGTATAATCAAACAAGGCGAATGAGGTGCGCCACCCTGTATACATATCTGTTATATGGACAACAGTCATTGTGAGTGGTGCTATTCCCAGTATAGACCTTATTTATAATAATCTTACCTGTTAAAATCGCTAAACTTGAATTTCCCGCCCATGCTAATCCCTGACTACCAACCGTCCTACTCTGGACACGCCCACTGAGTTTAACCTTCGCCATTTCCACTAAATGCCCTTGTTTATCCACAGAAAAATAACCCACTGTTAGACCTTCCATCATCACTACAATGGCATCTTTAGTCGGGTGATACACTACATAAGATAGAGATGTCCCTTCGGTGTTTAATACTTCAGAACATGAACCACTAAAAATTATATTTTTCCTATATGCAGTTTAAAAAAAATATGGATAACTTTACCTGGCATTTACATAATATACAGATCCCACTTGTGTGGCAATAAAAAATGATAAATTATCAGAACCATCTTGAATTCTGAACTTTCTAGCTGTTGTTTTGGGTCTCCAACTGCTAAACAAATCTAAGGCTCTTTCATCTCCTGAAAAATAAAAAAACTATACCAAATACAATTATTACTTTAGTTTAATAAAGTCTACCATCCACTGCCGCTTTTGCTAATCCCTCCACGTCATAGTCCATGTGAGATTTAACTGTCAACCGAAATGTGAGGTGCGTAATAGACTCTTTTAAGTCTAAATGAAACACCATATTTGTTTCACCATGACTATCAACTTTCCAACCAACTACAGAACCTGTCTGTATTGATACAAGAACTTTTAACATTAACGTTAAGTAATTATAAAGAAAAAACTTACAGAATCACATGATACCAGTCTTCCACCCTTTTCACTGAAATCGAGTAAAGTTATTGGAGCTTTATGTAATCCAACAACGTTAATAAAATCTTTGTCTGATCCATTCCAGACTCTAAGATCGCCGTTTTCCCAGCCGCTGACAAGAATTGTTCTTTCTGGATGCCAGGATAGTGCTGTTACTTGATAACTCCGATGGACTGGACAATTAACATCTTTTAGAGACTCTCCCTAAAAAATGTATAAAATTAAATATGTAAATAATTAAGAACGAATGAAAATATATATATGACTTACAATTTCGTCAAATATTATAACAAAACCGCCTTTGTCTTGAGAAAAACTGGCAGCAGCAAGGAGCGGTATATTTTTGTGCCAAACAGCGTTCACAGAGATTGAACCGCTCTCAGGAAAACTTACAGGATTCTCAATATAGAGCGTCATTGTTTAGTTTTAGTTTTTATTTATTAAACATGTTTAAAAAGAAAATTTAAGGAGTTTTGTTGACAACCACCTAAGACAAACACGAATGTTGCCCCTGGCAACTGTCAGAAATTTCCTAACCCCCACAAGTTTTTGTTAGAGAGGGGCACTTGTATCGATGTTTTAGAGAACTAATGAGTATTGTGGATTATAATTGTGTGATTAAAATTATGACAATGTCAAAATCACAATGATTAGGCACAACGTGAAAAAATCAAGTTTATATTTTTTGTTATTCTATTCCATTTATTTTTATATACTCGCTTCTCTAAAACATTGTTATCAAATTTCGAAAAATCGCCAGTATCGATATCAACGGGAATAATGGATAAGCCGGTCGAAACTCAATCAAACGAAGATGAGCTGGATATTCAGTTTAAGGAGATTCTTTGCGAAATCAGAAAGCATATTCCCTTCATCAATTCGAACGCTTACCTGTTCCAGTGCCGAATATGGTTGGAAAAGTTAAGCGGTCCAGATATGGATAAAGTCTTGAGAAATCTGTATTTGATCGAACTGTGTAATCAGATAGAGAATAATAAACTTTGTCCCCCTTTTAACGAAGCACCACCGGCAGGAAACCTTAAGAGTTTCAGTAGAATAAGTATGAAAATGCCGAATAAATCGATTTTACCTCAAGTAAGTTGAATATCTATCTGAAGGATTATTTAGAAAATTATTTTTTTAAAAGTATTAACTAAAAGTTAAAAACGAGTACATTAAGTATTTCTTTAGTGATGTGTACCTATTTTAAATAATCACTGAATACAAAATACGAGGGTGTCATTCGTGCAACAAAATCTGCGCAGTTTCTTTGCGCATCTCCTGAAACACGCCAACTTTTATTTTAAATTTAATTAAACTCCTAATTATTGTACTCGACTATGGAGTACAGTAATAGTCGTGAAACATTTAATGATTTATCTTAAGTCTATTTAATAAATTTAATACATATATGTATATTCGATACCAATTAAACATTTAGTTACGTAATCGAGGGCGCGATTTTTTAAATTCATTGTTGCCAACCATGGACATATCCAGCGCCGGGCTGACTAGCTGGAATTTAAATTTCCCGCTGGGGATTCAGGTGGTAGCTCTACTATAGAAATGTCAAGTTGCCAAATTTATTTATTTATTTCCTGACATTGCCATTCGTTTTGACACTTTAGTTCTGTATTAGGAGTTTTTGGTTTAAATAAATTGTGTTGTGATACTTTAAGCTTAAAAAATTTTACTAGCAGACCTTTAGAATTTTTTTAGAATTTAGAATGAGTGGGAGGGGGGTTAATCACTTCGACCTTACAGATCCATTGTGTCCCCCTTTCTTGAATCATAACTCATCATACAGTCCCAGGGCTTTGACAAAAGCCAGTATCTGGGACGGTTTTATAGAGGGTAGTTCTCCATCTCCAATAGCAGTCGTACCAAAATTCATGGCACGAATGGTTGTCGTCTCGGCGCACTCAGTGATGAGGTGTACTGGTGTTTCCCCATCTTCCCCACAGAATCTGCATTCGCCGTTTCTTCTTAGTTTCAATCTACTGAGGTGTTCATTGAGGAGACAGTGTCCTGTTAAAAACCCCGTGACAATCCGAACCTTGCTTAAGTGATAAGGGTGGTCCACCCCAAATTTTGTATTTTATTTTCTTGGACAAAATTTTTTATTTTTTTTTATGATATTGCATTAAAAATACATACAACCCTAAATTTTCCCGCTTCTACCATCAACCTCTATTTCTTAATAGCGATATTAGTAATTCAATAATTTTAATTTGACAACAAATTGTTTTTAGAATTTTTTAAAATGCCATAAATTAAAAACGTTGAGTATGATTGAGTATATACAGGGTATAATGGTATTTACCAAATTTAATATATCATTTAGCACTTTGGGTATATACCGGGTGCAAAAACTTGGCTATTTACCCAAATTTCAATATACCGGGTACTTGCCCATCACTGACCTTAGCCACAGCAACGCGTGGCCGGGTCTGCTAGTAATTATACAAATATTAATAATAATTACAAACATAGCTACGATGATTATTCGGCTCATCTCCTTGAAGGTCTTTTAAAAGTAACATATTATAACTCAGTTCATCTCTAAAGGTGCGTTCACACCGCGCCGCTCAAAACATTTTTTTAACGTGTACTTTTGAAGGTGCGCGGAACGGCGCCGCACAGTAGAACGATCGTATGTTTGATGCTGGACATAACACTTAAAATCGTATTTAAACTTTTAATACAAATTTCTTCAAATACATATTTAGAAAGCCATAATTTAATCAACTAAAATCGAATTTTATTGAAAAATTCACGCAAAGCTATATATTATGGTATACAATATATGCGTTTCTTGTTAAAGATATGTAATATGTAGGAAATTTATAGAGCAAATTATGGATTAAATAAATTACTTAATTCATGTGCCCCATAAAAAAGTTAGCCTCGGTTTTAGCCCATATTTTAACGAATAATTTAAAAGAAATTAATAGTTACACTTGGGTGTTTATTTAACTCTATTCTCCGTGAAAATATACATTTTTCAGCGAAATTATTATAGTTTGCGTCTTTCTTTCGTAATTATCAAAAAGTCCCACCGAGTCCCGATTATTTGTTGGGGGGTATGACTATGACTTCTCTATGTTATGCTAAACTTATGAATACAAAGTTTTATTGCAGCCGCTTGCAGCAAAGATGACTATGGAAAATTTTGTTTAAAATTTAATTTTTTATGATACACTATACAATAATTAAGACTTTGAAAATTATTGTTATTGAAATTGAATACATGTTGGTATTAAAGAACTGGACAAATCGCAAGGTCATAATTCATATAGAATAAAAATATGATAAAAACTTCATTAAGTTTTGGAATAAGTATGAAATTATGCAGTTTAATTTGTAATAGTCAATTTAATACGGAAATTCAAATAAAATATATATTCTGGAAAACACCCTTGCACTATTCAATAAGGCATCTATACTAAAGTTATGACGATATACTAAAGATTTTAGAACACATTTATTCAAAAAAATATCTTGAGTTAGAAATTTTACATAATTGCTGAATGTTCATCAAATTGCATGGGGTCGATCCATTGTGCGCAGCCGCGCCGCGCCGGCGCCGGTGTGAACGCACCTTGAAAGAAATCTATTTTTTAACCCATCTTACCCGATAGGTAAAACTTTACGTGTAGACGGGACGTAAGAGTCTATTACGCTCAATGAGGTTACGCTATACTGTTCGGGTCGCTCTCAGGGGTCGGGTAAAGCGGGTGTGCGGCTGAAGGAAATATATATTATACTTCAGAAATCTGCCTAAAGCTTAGCCCGATCCTGTCGTGTTAAGCCACATCCAAAATTCCAAACACACGTGCTTTGATTAAGGCTTGATTAAGGTTTGCAGAACTTCAGCATTTGCCATAAAACAGCGAGCAATTTGTTACAAAACCATATAAATTATATATCACTGTAATAACAAAGCTTCAATCTATTTCTGTATTGTAACGGAATTTTAAATTATGTCTTTATTTTCGAGAAAATTTAGTCCAAACATAAGAAATATTTTGTTGATGTTTGACCATTAAAATCTTAAAGATAAAGAAGTTATCTACAAATGTGTTATATTATCGATATAGTATAATCCTTTATCTTTAATTTCCTTCTTCATTTGTGTAAAAATACCTAGCCAGTTTTACATAAAACGTTAAATGCCGAACGCTTATTTTGCTACTTTTTTGGACTTAGTGAAACGGACTCTTAAGTAGCATTTAAGTGAGTCAGTAAACCATCCCAACTGGCATTATTAAACGATTTGGCTTGTTTCAGATACAAAGCAGGAGCAACTTATCTCGCTCAGCGAAAGCACTAATAAGCGCGCAACAGAAGAAGGCAAATAAACGATACGCGCCTAAAGATATACAAGGTGAGTTAATAAATCATTCGCCCCTGGTGGAACAGGTTCGTCGATGTAAAAGTAAATAGAGTTTTAAATATAAGTCGTCTATCGCGTTTGAGTATATTTCGCATAAAATTAAAAGCTGAATGTACAAGAATGCGCTTAAATGCCCGTTTTCTTCTTAAGCTTGATTTTCATGCGTCCGTTATCCGTTGATACGATGGTCCGACGGCGCTTTGATTGGTCGTAGCGTTTTCGCGCCACTTTTCATCCGTAAATTTTTTACTGCAGCCCGTCAACGCAGAAAGATCGTACGATATCGGACGTTTTGACACTTTTTTGACAAATTTAATCTAACCTTAATAAAAATCTATACTAATATATAAAATCCTTATGTGGCTCACTGATTAATCACGATCCTGCTCAAACCACTCAACGTAAGAAGCTCAATTTTGGCATAAAGGTTGATTCTAGGGTGTAGAAGTTCGATAAGAAGGGATTTTTCGAAATTCCAGTTCCAAGGGGGTGAAACCACCCCTCAAATATTACAATATTTTTTATTTAAAAAAACGGTCAAGTTTCCGAAAAAACGCTTAAACATGTATATTTTATTTTGTTTTTTACATATTTTAAGATTTTTTAAAAATGTATACAGGGTGTTTCGAAAAATTTGGTCATTGATTAATCACGATCCTGCTTAAAGCGCTTGACGTAAAAAGCTGATTTTTGGAAAACGGATTGACTTTAGGGTGTAGAGGTTCGATAAGAAGGGATTTTTTCGAAACTCGAATTCTAAGGGGGTGAAACCACCCCTCAAATATTAGAATATTTTTTATTTAAAAACCGGTGAGTTTTTCGGAAAAAACTCTTAATCACGTATATTCTACTTTGTTGTTTTACATATTTTAAGATTTTTACAAATTTATACAAGGTGTTTCATAAAATATGACCATTGAGTAATCACGATTCTGCTTAAACAGCTTGACGTTTAAAGCTGATTTTTGCAAACGGATTGACTGTGGGGTGTAGAGGTTCGATAAGGAGGGGTTTCTCGAATCTCAAATTCCAAGAGGGTGAAAACGCCCCTCAAATATTACAATATTTGTTATTTAAAAAACGGTTAGTCTTTCGGGAAAACGCTTGGACACGCATAATTTATGTTGTTTTTTACATATTTTGAATTTTTTTAAAAAATCATACAGGGTATTCCAAAAAGTTGGGTAATTGATTAACCACGATTCTGCTTAAACTGCTCGACGTAAAAAGCTTATTTTTGGCAAACGGATTTTTCGAAAGTAAAATTCCAACGAAATGAAAATACCCCTCAAATATTACCAAGTTATATAATAATATCGCCATATTGTTTTTTCTCATGCTGACATAAATGTGCGAAAATTTTAGCCAGTTTGTATGTTAATGGAAATTTTTGCTTTGCTTTATCATCACCATTACAAATGATTAATTCGACGCGAACAAAGTCGCCGGTACACGCTAGTATAATAGTACAAGAGCTAGCACCGTCGGGAAAACGAGAATTTTAAGAAAGCTGGTTCTTTAATATATCTTTTGCTATGCTCTCCTGACCAAAGTGCTGGCCTTTTGGGTGCTGGTAGACTACTGCCGTTCACTACTGCGCATCACATCTGTACAAGATATCCCATTTTCGTGTGTTTTATAAGATTTCTCGTTTATGGGTAGAGATACAATGATGCGATTTTCACATTACTTTACTACTTTTTATGAAACTAAATATACTACACATAGGTTTGTCCTAGCCTACTTAGTTCCTGAAATACAGGGCGAATTTGTAATGCGCAGTAGTGACCAGATGTTTAATACAGATATGATGCGCAGTAGTGAACGCAACGGCTACCGGCAGCCAGACGTTCCACACTCTGTTCAGAAGAGCATAGCAAAAGATATATTAAAGAACAAGCTTTCTTAAAATTCTCTCGCGAAAAGGTTGCTAGCTCTTAGACTATAAGTAAAACAGCGAAATCTCGTTATGGAAATGAAAATATAAAATGGCACAAAATATAAAATGGCACAAGCAAATCGTATATGCAATAAAAAAACGTAATTTTCTAACCAATCGAAGTCTTTAAATTCAACCAATAAAATTAATATCGTATCATCGTATCGTCGGACAACGGATGCATGAAAATCAAGCTTTAGACTCTAGATAAGGTAGCTTTGAATAAAAAGATTAATGAATTATTTGATAATTCAGTTATTTCTAATTTCTAGGAAATATAGAAAAATATTTTGAAAGGGAAAGGGACCATAGCAAAGGTATTTCTGATATATTTGTGCCCATTGAGACGATCAAACCGATAAAATCCACGATAAAACCCAAATCGACTCAACTGCCGATGAGAAGCCAATCCCAAACCAACAAATTTAGCTGCGGGGAGCCTATACATTCCAGCCATTCTAATATCAAATACGAAACGACTGCCAGCGATAAAACAGAGTGTATTAGTAGAGAAATAGCAATAGATGGTACTGATGACTCTTGGTCGGATATAACTGATCAGGACGAGGAAATTGATGATAATACGATCAAATGCGAAATAGATAAGGATAAAGAATGTCCCAAAGTCGTGGAAGAAAGATCTACTAAACCAGTTGAAACAAGTAATATTCTAACAAATAATTGATTAAACAAATAGACACATCGCTTGGTGACAAATGGTGACAATACACAAAACTAGGTGCGTCTCGAAAGTGGCTCATCCGTATAACATTTTTATTTTTTCAGATAAAAAAACGAGATTTGACTATCACATTTGGTAAATCACATAAATTAGAATTAATTGACGTATTCATTTGTTTTTTGGTCACTTCCTGTTTCACCGGAAATGAATACAACTTTTGATTTTTAAATGGCACCCTCGGTATATTTCTACTTTATCCACGACTCGTCCATAATTTGATTATTATACATGAGTTTGTGAAATAATAATAATATCCATTATTCACTAGTGAATAATGGTTTCATTATTCACCGCTTCCACGGATATCTCGATTCAATTTAATTTTAATTCTCGATACATTTTTGTTTTACCTCGATTTAATTTATTTTATTGTTTAATTAGTTAAAGCTAAATTAGTTAAGAAAATTTCAATGTTTTGTTTCCATGTTACTCAATATATTTTTGACATTAAAAATAAAACTTTTTATATTAATATTATCTAAATGTTTTTGATAGATGATTTTGATACTGGATAAAGTATTTTAATTCTACTCGCATATAATGGCTGTTATTCACTTGATGGATGATTTATTCCGCGTGAATAACAGCCACCATTATAACTCGTTGACTAATATACTATTATTCGATAGAAAATGATACTCTGAATAGAATGACATATTAAATGTCAACTTTTGACATTTTCGTTTAAAGAAAAATCATATTTTAAATTTTAATCTAGAGTGCCACGGCTGTGTTAAAAATACTAATTTTTAATCAAGGAGTCTTGGAAAAATAGATTTGATCGTCTAATGTGTTTCGTGTCTGCCCTGGCCGGTTAAAGAGATGCCTAAATCGTATTTTTACTCATATCTCAATTTTTCAAATGAAACAAGGGTGGTTCGTTAGCATATTTGGAAACAGCATTTTTACGAATAATTTGGTACGGCACACTTGGTATTTCGAGTCAAATTGTCGTTATGAACCGCAAGTTACAATTTCAAGTAAATCATGTGCGAAAATGTCACAAGTTGACATATGATACGTCATTCGATTCAGAGTGTCATTTTCTATCGAATAAAGTAAAAAATACCGAGGGTGTCATTTAAAATTAAAAGTTGTAGTCATTTCCGGTGAAACAGGAAGTGACCGAAAACAATTATTGAATACAATCTTTTGTTATTCAGTCAGTCTTAATTTATTTCATATACTATACATATACCAAATCTGGTTTTTTTATCTAAAAGTTATAGGGGTGAGCCACTTTTGAGACGCACCCGGTATATACAACTTACAATTCCATACATACGAGGCAATAAGGATATAGGAAAACAATATAACATAAGAACATCCTTCAAAATACAAGAGAATACCGAGATCATTCGTGCAACTTTGTGTCGATTGGATAGTCAGTTACCAGTAGAGGTTAGATGCCTTATTTATCATTTAATAATGAAATCGGTATTTTTAATTTTTTCCTTCTTTATAGGCTAAAAAATAAAACATAGATGATTATAATGGAACCACATTGGTGTACTAGACCACAATACACAAAAAACTGAGTTTAGTTATAATCATTAACTGGTGATGCTAAATGTGTGATGCCAAATGCATCCCCGGGCTTAAAAGTAAGGTGTTTTGGTGTATTGTGGTGAACTAGTGTTTAATTTTGCTTTAACACCAAAGGTTCCAGCTCCAACCGAATTCTACAGGCACTAGGTTTATTAATCTCAGTTCTTAATGAATATAATTCCTCATACTAAGTAATAAAGAAATTAAAATTCTTATAGACATGGATCTGTAAAGTATTATCAATTTTAAAATGAGATACAATTTCATAGGTGAGCAGAGAACTATAGTGTCACAAACGGAGGAAGACAATATAATATTTAGTTACAATCTTAAAGACATGAATTTTATTTCTGAAGATTGGAAAAAGACTATAGCAGCGTTACAGTTGAGACTGTCAGAAATGACACATCAAAACGACTACCTAAATTCGATCATACAGAAGATGGAAATCAAGATTGATGAGACTAATGCTCAACACCAAGTAAGTAATTGACTTTCTTTAAATCGTAAATAAATCGGTAAAATAATTGTCGAAAATACGAATAGAATAAATAATGTTTAACCCTTGGCGAACGCACAGTTCCTGACAGTGACAGTGTCTGTCATTTTAATTCACAGGCAAATTGGATTTTATGTCATTTTTTGGACGTCGTCTGTCGAGATCTTTCCTCGTCCGTTGGATAGACTATATAAATATAAATTCCCGAACAAATCAACAATATTAAGTCTAATTTACACGTGTCAAGTTACTAAATTAATTACTAAACGATTTAGTACTTGCGCAAGTAACAGATTTAGTAAACTGTTTAGTCAACTGAATAGAAATGATTCCTATTTACTTGCGCAAGTGGTCATCCCCACTTCTGTTTTAGAGCAACTAAAGCGCCGACTAAACAAGTGTAGACCGGCCAGTTTAGGGAAGTTCATTAGTAAAGACTACTAGCGCTACTAGCGTTTATTTTATTTGATTTTTTAATAATTAATTTTGCCTCTTGAATAAGTTTGTAGAAAAATATCGTGAAAGACGATGCCTGTGGGATACAAGGGCTGCCGTTTATAAACATAAACAAGCTCGGGACTCGGGATACAGCGTATAAGGAAGTTGAGGAGATCCTGGGTATAGAAGGATTCGGATTTCATGAAATTAAAAACAAAATACGGGCACTGAGGTCAACTTATTGTCAAGAAAAAAAGAAGAAAATAAAGCATTTATAAAATCGGGAGCAGGTTCGAAGGATATTTATGTCCCCAGTGTAAAATCCTGTTTAAATCAACAACTAAACAACAATAAAAATTAAAATGTAGACGCTCACTAAAATGAACGGGTTAAATCTTAGCTACTTGATTTTGTAGCTTGCTTTAGCTACTTGATACGTGTAACTGCGGCTTTAGTGTCATTGGTGGCAACGGTGGGGTCCATAACACCTGTATATCATTGTATTGTTAATAAAAAATTCTTTCTTTGGAGCAAATGTCGAAAACGAATGTTACGCCCCTGAACTAGATTGATGTAATTCAAATTTAGTAAATTAAAAATCTGCGGGAAGTCGATAGATACAGGGTGATTCGGCCTTCCGAAAAAGCTCTACAGTATGTCACCGGATTATCTTTACAAGAGGAAAAATTGTTAAAGGATTGCTTCGTTAAAGATTTTATTATTGTTAGATATGAATATTCCCTCTTTAAATTTGCGCTTTTTCCAATGAGACCACACTTGGACCATTCTTAATCTAAGCTTGGACCACACATGATCTGCAATGCCCGACTTCATTGTTTCACTTCTTTGCATATGTTTTTTATGTTTTTCAAGTCGTACATGTAGAGGACGTTTTGTCTATCCAAAGTACGACTCACCGCACTCGCAAGCTATACTCTGTTTTTTTTCTCAGGTAAGATTTCGACAGACGATGACAGAAGAAAAGGAGATGACGTCCCATACCAATCTATTTATTTTACTAAAAAAAGTTTCTAGTAATTTTTAAGTTATCTATGGATGGGTTTAAATATAAATCCGTCATACGTCGTGTCTTGTTGTTTTTAACCAGTTTTATTGGTTTATTTAAAAAATGACAGAACGTATTTCAATTTTATTGGTTTGACGGAACGATGAACTACAAACGGACGCCGAT